GCATGAAAGTTTTTGAATAATGATGATTTGACAAGCTAGGACTGCAATTACTTACATTTAGAATGTTCTAGAATGCTTTAATTGGGCAAAAGTGGCTAGAAACTTGGCTTTATTTGGATGTAATCGCAGTGCGTCTATAGTTTTTATCACACTGAAAACTGGTTTTTCTCAATTTTACAAAAAAGTAAAATGGATTTCAAAGTTTTAGACTAGTATCACAATTCGATACCAATTCAAAGTATAATCCCAAAGTACGATGATTCAAAACTGAATATTATTTCAAAAAATTCAAAAACTTGAGTGCGTCTATAGTTTTTGTCAGGACTGTATTATCCGGATAACTTTTGAGATCTTGCGCAGCTATCGAAAGGTCACGCACGCACTATTCGTGACACGCAGCAGGACAATGCGCCTCGTGTGTGCCCTCCTAGCATGGGCCTTGCCACTAGCAGCTTTATCCGATACGACTGTCATCGTGCCCGATCCAAGCGAAGCAGATAACATCGAACAGCTCCATTATGACGAAGCGAAGGCCGTTCTAGCGGCCCACCAAGTGGCGGAGATCACTCCATTTACGATCGATCTCAACTACTACGAGTACAATCTCATTCCTGTCGTGAATCCAGACTACACAATCGGCATCCTCGTTGACCCTTGCAAGACACGGGAACCTGGATGCTGCCAGGACCAGTTTGGTTCTCCGGTAGGCACCCATCATCGTCCACGTCGGAGCTCAAGTCATGTTGTTTTCTCCATCTGTAGGCGTACATTGTTTCGCGATCGGACATGAACGACAAGGGCATTGCCAAGCTCGTGAATGAGTTTGGAGCCCCCCTCGACGCTAAACTCAGGTGAAGAACACCTTCAAAACACTCGTTATAGCTGAATTCTGTTCATGGTGCTCACCTCTGTCGCCAGTCGTCTTGGCGACACTCCTTCCGTCTTCGACCCCACCTGCCGCGTTGATTCCGTCGGAAACGTGTATAAGAACAGCTCTACATACTACCCCAACGGGTCCATCACCTACTCTGTCGACTACGCGTCTCTCTGGTAATACTGTATGCCCCTCTTCCTCCAAAGCACCCTCGCCAACGATGTCCTCGCATGTGTAGTGTGGCCCACGATTACGCGGCAGTTGCAGTCACGAGCCGCGCCCTGCCGGCGTGTTGGGACAGCAACGCGACCGTGAACGCTCTTCTACCGTGCTACACGTTCGACGGAAGGCAAAAGCCGCACTGCGTGTCCGTGGGGTATATGCAGACCGCGTACATCGTGCAATGCCTTGGGTCGTACGCCCTGGACAACCACTGCGGCACGTTCCTCGAGCTGCACAAACCCAACGACGAAACCATCTTGGCCCAGACGAGGCTCTTCGCAGAGTTCACCAACGGGTACCGCACCACGACGCTGCCGCTCTTCCATGCTGGCAACCGAAGTCGGACGGTGTGCAACGGAGACTACGAGGTAGTTGCGCTCAACGGGACACGGACGTGATCGACGTGCTGGCGTTGTGTAGATCTGGTGGGTGCTGCGCACAAGGTACAAGTATGTGGTCAAGTACCAGAAGAAGCTGTACATCACCACACCCTTGTGCGAGTTCGACGACGTCACCAACGACTACCGCGTCTACATGACGTTAGGGTCATAGTTCCCTCGTTTATTTATGGGACCTCCCTTAATCAGAGCTCGATTTTCAGAGGGGGGGGTAGAAAATCTCACCCATCTGATTCGACGTGGTGGATTAAAATAAAAAACCATTGAACTCCTGTATGCGAGGTAAAAATAAAATTGACCTGAGTTGCAATCCTTTTTGCGCCAGAGCCGCCACTTTTGCTCGACTGACCACCTTGTCGACTACATCGTGCGACCTTTGAGGTACGATCTGTACAAGCCTGGTGTGGTGCCGCCTATGTCCAGCATCCAGCACCTCACTAGCCTAGGCCATTGACACACGTGGTTGTGTAGTTGCAACGTCGCGAGCAGAAACATGGTGGACCCAACGACCACCGACAGCTACGACGGTGGTGCGATGACCAGCTGTGTGTGTCGAGAGGGCTTTGATCCGAGGCGCTTTATGCTCGAGTGTGCCTACTGCGAGCACTGGTTTCATGGCGTGTGTGTGCAGTTAAATGAAGAGAAAGCGTTTGCGATCGCCAAGTATGCATGTCCAGCTTGTACCAACAAGGGCTGCCAAACCAAATGTACGTCGAACTAGTTTCCACGTTCATTCTCAAACACGCATTGTTTGCAGATGTGGCAGATCCAAAGCCGTCCTTGGACCCGTCTCTCTTGCCGCTGCCTCGCCAGTTTGCCTCCCTCAACATCAAGCAAGTCCTCGCAGGACCATCGCCATCCAGCGTCGACAAGGCCAGCGCCAAGTTCCATCAAATGCTTGAATGCGGCATGTACGCTCGATCTGGCGTCCGCCGTGTCGCCGGCGCGGTAACACCGCCACCACAGCCTGCCCATCTTGATATCAATACCATGGGGTAGAGTGTCACCGCAGCGTTTATCCACGCCAACGGGTTCCACGAACCGATCGTGACCGACGACACGATGGGCGCCGTGCCTGGGCTCCGCGTGCCCGACTCTTCAATCCACGTCGACGACCTGCCCAACATTCTAGGTACCGTTCTTTGTCCCCATCATTCCCATCATATCCCCACCCTCGTTTGCCATGTACTCACTGTTCAACCCTTGATGCAGCCGCGGCCAAGCTGATCAAAACCATCGACTTGTCCAGCCAAGTTCCCCGACAATTGACGTATACGGACGTGACGTCCATATGCAACGACGGCGACTCGTGGTGTGGCAACGTCGAGTTTCCTGTTATCGACACCCCGTTGGAGTACCAGATCTCGCCGCCCCAGCGTAAGCCCCCCCTTCCCCCCCTCCCCCCCTGATTGGCATGTCTCCACATCAACAACCCAATATACTATATATTCTAGTCGTGCTCGACTTGGACTGGTTCCAGAGTTCCCGAGCGGAAACTGGCGGCGCGTCGTTCAACCCCAACACGTACATCGCCATGTACTCTGCACATTCGTTCAAGGACTTTTGCATGAGCCCCAACGGATCGTCGACGTGGCTCCATCACTTGTACGGTCCGGCGCTGACGGTGTACCTGGTACCGCCGACCCCGACCCACGTCGACAAGTTCATCGAGTGGTGTGTGAGTTCGGCTCGAGCCGCCGTGCACTTTGCAGACCTGACCGACAAGTGCATCAAAATCGACGTTCTGCCCTCGTCGTCGCTGCTGATTCCAGCCTCGTGGATGTACAGTCTGTACGTACCGGCCACCGCCACCGCCATGACGACGACGGGGCCAGAAACGAATGTTGTGTCGACGTTGCAGTCATCGCCATCGCCGCCGCAGCAGCATCCCCCCTCGACGGCAGCGGTGTTCTTGACGGGGTATTTCTTTCACGGGTTCAGCATGAAGGAGCAAGTGCGGGTGCTTGAAGTGGAGCAGACTGTCGCGCGCAAGGCGAGTGCCACCGGTGCGTGCGTGCGTGTGGTTTATGGAGAGAGAGAGAAAGCTAACCACGTCGACATGATTTTGACGTGCATGTAGGCCGCCCCCCCATGTGGCCGATGGTCACGTCCGCCGCGCAATTTCCCGCGCCGTCCCCCGAGATGCTCAAGACATGGGTGTGGCCCGCGGTGCAGCGGTTCATCGGGCGCCTCAAGCGGCTGCAAGTGCTCACCGAGTGGGAAACCCTCGGACTGTTGCACATTTTGCCGCTTTTGCGGCACTGCGACCTCCCCAACCAGGGCGACTCGACCGTCGATGCGTTGCAGGCGCTCCTGGGGGTCAAGGACCCTTCTCTTGGCGGCGCGTCGACACCTGTGGCCACGTCCATGGCTTCGAAGGGCAAAGCCAAGAAAGCCACGACGCCATCGTCACAGCTGTCCTCGATGGGACCCCCCCATCCCCCCCCCGGCGCCCCCCCTTCGTCGTCGCTGGTCGCTGCGTCCGATTCGTTTTTGAAACAACGCGATAAGAAAGTATGCAAATGCCACTTGAAAAAGTGCGTCAATTGCCGCAACTGCACCAAACGGCACTGTATCTGCGGCACCCCCCCGCCCCCCTTGTCCACATCTTTGTTGGTCGGAGGAGGACTTGCTGGCGGTGGTGGTGTGAACCTCCCGTCCAAGAAAGCGACGTTGGTGCTCGGGGACAAGAAGGCCAAGAAAAAGCCACCACCGACCCCAGCAACGACGATAGAATCAACTTCGACTGGGCCGCCCATGGCGTTGTCGGCGGTGCCATATCGCCCACCCCCGCAACTTGCTCTACAACACACGGACACGGCGCAGTCGCTGCCCCCGTCAGGGGGAGCGCTTGCCCCGTGGGCGACAGACGACGACCCGCACGATGCGTCGTCGATGTGGGACCACGACATGCACCAGTCGTTCTTTTCTGCGACAGAGCTTGGCCTCAACATGCCCGGGGCGCTCGAGCTCGACGACGCGTTCGGAATCATCGACATGGTGGAGAGCTCGTCGCTGTTTTCAGGGTACCCCCCCCATCCTCCTCCTCATCCTGACGCGGCCAGGGTGTCCCCCACCGCGATCAAACGAGAATATGACGGTGAAGAAGGCGGCGGTGGCGGGTCGACGTCTTCGTTCTCGGCACCCCCCCCATCATCCACGCAACTAGGGGGGGGGCTGCATCCCCACTCGTCGTTCTTGTTCGACCCGACATCGGCGGCATCGGCCGACTTGTACGACAGCGAAAAGGAAGGAGTCAAGGACTTTGGCGACATGACCCCCGACGGCGACGGCTCGCAGCGCCATCGTGCGTCCTGCCACCGCTGCGGCAACCTCCGCAAGAAGAACGTGCGGTGCCTCGGGTGCCCGCACATTTTCTGTCAAAAGTTGTGCCCATTCTCATCAAAGGTCGTCGTGCGTGTGCTCATATCCCAAGTGCGTGTAGGTGTGCGGAGAAGATGGTAGAAGAGCACGGCCCCCAGACGTTTATCGGCGGATGCCCCGTCTGCAAAGAGATGTGTTGCTGTGGCAAAAACAGGTCCACCGTCTGCCGCCGCAAGGTACAGAGTCTATATGTAGTACACTAGTGATGGTCACGGAATGATGGTGCGTAGTTTCACTGCTACAAGAAGTGCCCAGCTACGAAGCGGTGCAATTTGCTCTCGGACGAAGCAATGAAACTTCGGGGAGATGACGCCGACTCGTTCAAGGACGATGACATGCTCATGGAGTTCAACATACACGACGACGACCTCGACGGCAGCGACATCATGGCGATGCCGCCGTCGCTGGCCGACAATCCGTACCATGTGCCGCCGCACCCGTCGTCGTCGCTCAGCGAGTGCGATTTTGACATGGACTTGGGGGACTTGGACTAGTTACTGTACTAGTTGATTCTGGGTATATATTGTCCTTTTACCCAATATTTGGACTTCGCCAAATCTATCGATCGATACTTTATCATCACTTTACTGTTAGTCGTCCATGATCACACTAATTTCAGTCACACACTAATTCGATGTTGGGTCGAAGAGTGAGTGTGATTGGCTACTTGATTCGTGTTGTGGGTTTTGATTGATCGTGTATCGATTGTCTGTCGATTTGGTGGTCATACTCGACTCAGCACCCAAACACTACAATTGCAGCTGTATGCAATCTATATGGAGCTACGTACGTTTGTGTTTTAGCAACTTTGGTAGCAACGTCGATAGTAGTGGTCGCGTAGTTACAGACTACAGTACTACGGCACTTGGTTGCGCACCAAGTGCGGCCGCAACGCCGACATGGAGATGAGGATCGCTTCTTCCGACCGGATCGTGCGGCTGCCTTGCTGCGGACACGTGTTGACCCACATGTCAAACAGAGTGTGCGCCTGGTCCCCACTCACGCCTATCGTTTCGTCTGCGTTCGTGCATTCTTCAATACCTGATACCCCCCCAAACACAATCAGGACGTGCCTACCCATACGTCAGTATAAACTTTGACAGGTCCAATCAGCCGTACTGGAACGACGGGAGCTGGAACGTGCTGTCGTCCACCGAGACGGTCCCGCGCTCAGATGTGCCGACTTTGAGGTCGTAGCCGTTCTAACCACACACAGATATATATATATGTACAATAGACTTGGGACCTTAATGAGTAGTCCGTAGGTGTATGTATGTACCTTGTACGGGCACTCTTGCCACACCTTGCTGATCGACGTGGCAAAACGCATCGTATACCCCCAATAAAGGCCTTTTTGTTCGCGGGGCTCGGCCGGCGACACGACGATACCCGCCACTGTCAACATGGTGAGCCACACGATTCAAAACAGACGTTAACGACGTACACTTTTTCTTGTCTTTTGACGATTCGTCCAGCTGGACCGTCACGCGGACGCCTGGCTGAAGATGTTTGTCGATCACGGCAAACTTTTGCAGCCCCACGTTGACATGCGATCCCTGCTTCTCCTTGAGCGGCTGGTCGACAACTACGCCTTCGCGGTAGTCGCTCCACACGTCCCCGCGCATGTGATGCGGACAGTCCAGTGGGTTTAACAGACCTGCGTACTTGAGATCGTTGTGCACGGGAAACAGCGCCTTGCGGAGGTACTGCGGCGTCTCCAAGTACTGCAAGATGCGACCAAGGAACACGTTGCAGTCGTTCGGGTTGTTGTACTTCTTGGTCGCGTCCTGGTTGTTGGCGTTCTTGCCCAGTTGATCGTCAAAGACCACCACTTCGTCCACTTGGAAGATGGCACATGCACGCGCGATCTGCCCGGCAAGGTACGTCTTGAGCTCCTTGGTTTGCGCGTTGTCGATGATCGACCCCGGGATGGCAATGGACACGGTGTAGAACCGACCCTTCGCAAGACGTTCTTGATGGGCTCGAGCTTCGTCCGCTTTCCTCAACTCGGCCTTGGCTTCCTGCTTGTCTGTGCGTTTTTGTTTTCGTCGCGCCTGCCGTTCCAAGAGGATCTCGTCGCGGCTCTTGTCCGACACATGACTCTTTTCGGCATGGTCGTCGTCGGGGGCGGCGGCGGCGGCGGATACGTTCTCTTCACGAACACGCTTTGGTTTCCTAGAGGCCGCGACGGCGCGGGCCACTGTCTCCACTTCCGAGTCGCTCGATTCGCTCGAGATCATGTTGCTGTCACGTTGAAGCTGATTATTGCCACCAACCAAGGAAGGGCAAAGCAAAACCTCCGAGCCGTTATATTTTCATCCGGATATTACCGGATATAGATTTACAAAGGTCAATATGTCAACAAATAAAGAGCAGAGAAAGATGAGCTTGCCCAAGAAACCGTGGGAATCCACAGCATCGTCGGCGCCTCTGCCGCGAACAGCCGCATCAAGCGCAGCATATCGAGCAAGCACCACCATCTCCGCGAATGCAGCAGCGTCCCAGGGTAGTACGATCCCAGCCACGTCGACGTCAAATCCCACAGGCACGGCAGGAATGAGTCCCCAAGACTCGCAAAGCGCATTGATGATGCAAGGTAGCAACCCATTATACGGTGGTGGTGCTGGCGCCTACGGTAGTCGATATGGTGTTGGCGCGTCGGGATACGGTGGAGGATACGGTAGCTCCTACGGAGGTGGGTATGGCGGGTACGGCGGCGGTGGCGGCATGTACGGTGGCGGTGGGTATGGTGGTTACGGCGGCGGCATGTATGGCGGCGGCGGTATGTACGGAGGTGGTGGCGGCCCCATGATGATGGACCCGAACGGACAGATGGGGTGGTTGGTCAGTTTCAACCAAACCGTCAGCGCCATCGGCCAAATCACTCAAGTCCGTCGATCGTTCCATCGTCCATTTTCGTGTCATGACTGACGATGCCACATGTATATAGGTGCTTGGAATGAACGCCGAGTCGCTCAACTTTTGCTTCGGAAGCTTTGTTCACTTTATGGAGCGCATGGCGTTCCTCACGACAAATGCTGTCGCAATGCTGTCGCCCAAACCAGTGTTTCGCCCTGGCCATCCCCGATACGGTACGTTATGTCATCATGGACGATACGTCGACTGACAATGTGCGAACGTAGGAGAACCACCGGAATCGGACGAAGAGATCAAGAGCCGGCTGCGACGGGTGCGCGTGGTCAAGTTCCTGCTCAGCCTCGTGGCCATCTACGCGGCTTCCCGCGCCATCCGCGCTGTCCGCGACCTGTGGCGGCGGCCGCAACTCCAGCACAAGCCTGCATTATCGTACGACAGAGTGTTTGGATCATCCCTTCCGTCGACTGCGCAGAACAAAGCAATGTAGACATGCTCGACTTCAGTAGTCTGAAGAGTTGACAACCTCGTACTTCGAAGTAATAGAAACATGAAACTGCACGCCGTTTCTAGTGCTGGGCACCAAACTTTGTAGTACGCAGCAATGCTGAAGCGGTGGTCGGGCTGTATTACAAGTAACAGTAAGAATCCTACAAATAACATGTTGACAAGCGATTTGAGTCAGATTTTAAGCTTGTTCAATGTATCAAAAAGAAACTTTAAAGATGATATTAATACTGTAAGCTTATTCGGTACGAATTTCCAGACCTCGAATCACGAATCGACGCTATTATTGGCTCATCCAATTTTGAAAGGATTTGATTGGCTCTTACATAGAATATTCATCCAATCAGAACTCCAGCATGAGTCAATATGGATACAAACTTCACGAATTTTGGAAGTTTATCGCAAATTCACACAATACTATATGAAGTAGTTAAGTGTCGATACTAGCTACTGCTGGATATACATACACATTTCCTATGACAAGGAAATGTCGGCGTGGCACGGATGGTTCCATCGCCATTCAAAGTGGTTTGTGACCATGTGAAAGTGCACGAGGGCGGCCATGACGACGCAGACGTGCCAGATCTGATGCGACCCGAAGAGGACGTCGAAGCGGCCGGGGTAGAAGCGCTCGGGGATGCGACTCATGTAGATCATGGCGCCGCCAATGTAGAACAAGCCTTCCCAGAGCATGGGATACAGGATGACTTGGACTTGGTCGTCGTGGAAGCCGCGGAGCAGCGCCATGTGAACGACCGGGACGGCACCAAAGCACCCGAACGAGATGAACGTGCATGTGCGCAACACGAGGAACTTCTCCTTGGCGAAGAATGGCATCATGGCCATGGCGAATGTCAGGGTCGCGAGCACCAGTGTCGTGGTCAGGTAGAACCACCGAAGGGTGTCGTGGCAGTAGAACCCATAGTACTGCACGGGTACAAACGAGCCCGAGATCAAGATGGAGATGCCAGAGTAGTCCAGCCGAGACATGACGGCGTACACGGCCGGACCCACGACGTAAAGGAGGTGGAACAGCGCAGAGCAGCTCAGGCACACGATGGCGCTGCCGATGAACACGGACACGGGCCACACGGGCACGTGGTGGTGGTCCAGGTCGAAGCGGAGGACGTTCAGGACGTCCGTGATGGCTTGGATGCCGTGGCGGATGTTGTCTTGGTGCTGGGAGTGCTCGATCGCCGTGAGCCGAGCGCGGACCTTGTCTTGCAGCGACGCTAGGTGGCCATATACGTGGCGGTTGAGCCACGCGTGGTCGGCGAGTGCTGCGAGGCGGTCTTGGAGCTGCAACAAGTCTTGCTTGAGAAGGAGGACTTCGACCGGGTCCGACGAGTCGTGGACGAGGTCTGCCAGTGTCGAGTTGAAGAGGACGCTGGCGCTTTCGAGGAAGTCGCGCGGCGGACCATGCAACGACAACGTTTGCACGAGCGCGCGCTCGGTAGCGTCCATGACGGAATGGGTCGTGAAGAGACGTAGCGTGTGGTGGCCTTGGGACATGTACGGCAGGTTCACGAGGTGCACGTGGTGCGGCGACTCCAACGTGTGATGGGAGTGCACGGCCTTGTCGACTTGCATGTACAAGAGCACGAGCAGCGACATGAAGATGAGCGACCCCACCATGTGTGTCCACACGTTGAGCGTCTCGTTGTGCACTTCAAACAGAGAGACGACACACTCCTTCATCGTGTAGTGGAGGCGGTACCCGTGGTGGATGTACGTGTTGTCGCCCAGGTAGCCGAACCCTTCGTCGTTCAAGCGATGAAACGCCTCGAGTTTCTTCACCTTTGTGGCGGTCGAGTCTTGCCGCGTCAATGTCGGTGCACCTTCGACTGGTTCTTCATGTGTCTTCAGCGTCATACCTTCCGCCATGAACGTTATCGGGGGATGATTCGGGAATGACAACGTGATGGATTGCCGTGGGGCTTCTACGGTCACTGGCGGTTATTTTGGGAAGCAGCCCATACACAGTTCGAGTGGTTGGGTTATCCGGATGTGAAACCTGAGATCCGGATAATCTCAAGAACATGCGACAGACTCGACACGTGACAATGGCAAGTCTGCTGGTGTGGATGGACGCAGACATGGCGAATGGATGGAAGAAGCGTCGGAAGGAAGGGTATGATAAGTCGGCTGGATGCGTGTCATGACGAGGGGACAGCAGCGCCACGAAACAGGACATGACCTTCAAACACGAACGACGTCATCGAGTTACAGTATAGTATATCCATGCGGTCACGTCATTCAATCCACCGCGTCGACAGCCTAGAACCATCTGGGACGATGAGGTATGTAGCTCAAGGTGGTTCGTGTGACTTGCTTGGAGGATACATACGGTGGTGTTCACGCCTTGGCACCACCCCTGCCGGGCACCTCTTTTGCCTGCATGCACGACTACGGTTTCTCGACGGTCGTGTGATGGAATTGCATGGTCGTACCTGTGCTTTCAGTTCTGCTTTCACGGGTCTCCTTCTCCTGTCTCGTCCTCTATCGTCGGTCGCCTCACGTAGAGTCTTCTTCTTCGCCGCGACGTCGTCCACCATGACTGTCCTCAGCGCTTCCCGGACGTGCGTCAATTCATTCACGACGTTCGATTGCAAGTCTTGGAATGCCTTGTCTCGTTGCGGAAACGTCTACATGGCCATGTGAATGCACACTCGTCATATTACCCTGTCGCAGAAATACCGTCTCCACAAAGGAATACAACGTGTGCATGTTGTCGGCTATCCGGTGCATACGCTTCTCCAGTCTAGGCAAGGTACATCCAGTAGTACGACAATCACTTCTCCACCGAATCAGTCCACATATATCTTGTTGATCGGTCATCATACTTGTGGATGCGAGCCAAGCCTTTATGCACGCCTTCGACGACCACTGGCTCCTCGTCCGCGGCTCGTTTCATGAGCATCTGCACGTTCTCCCTTAAGGCTGGTACTTGGACTTCCATGCACGCCACGGCCTTCCACCACGCTTCTTCCTATGCACGCCGCCCTTGATCACGTCCATCCATTATCTACATGCGACGTGCGTACCTTGGCGCACCATTCGTCTTGCAGCCGCTTCTCCATGCGGCGCATCTCCACTTGTAACTCGCTTCCTTGACCCGCGTCCGTCTTGTCTAGCAGCTGGCTAAACCTGGCGCTCCAGTCCTCCACGAGCATCATTTGCGACGACTCGAACGTTTCCATGGCACGGCGGAGGTACTCGAGGCCTTGACGACACACGTGAAAGTCCCGCTCCAGAGTCGCCACACGCCCTTCGTCTCTTCGTGTCCCCCCCTTGGTCCCGAAGGATGGGGGGGCGGCTCGCTCCCGGTCGTCCAGCTCCGCCTGCAGCGACACCAAGCTGGCATTGATCAGGCGGCAGTCGTCGTGGTGCTTTTGACTCACTTGTGTGAGCTTTAGCTGAGCGCGTTGCAAGTGATCGTGCATCAACAGGGCGTTCTGTTCCATGGCCTCGAGCTTGGCGTCGACGGCGCAACCGGCGCGGGCGATCTCGACGGCGCAAAACTGCTCAACGGCGGTCCGAGCCCGCTTGGCTTTGTCTTCGTGTTCGGCCAAGGTGGCTTCCAACGCGCCAGTCGTCGCCTGCATGTCTTCTCGTGCTTGTTGCACGACCTAGTCCACAATATCATCATCTGGTTGACATGTCGATGACAGATGCTTACCGCATCCGTGTGGGCGAGACTTCGAGCGTCTCCTGCAGCCACTTCTCGCACTAGCTCTTGATGCGCCACGTGTATGGCCTGCCACTTGGCCTGCTGGGCGGCATGCAACGTATGGTACCGCTGGACATGGAGTTCCATGGTTTCCTTGGCGAGTTCGCCGTTGGCAATGGCGTGATCGATCTCTTGGCGAAGCTTCGTCTCCATCGTTTGCGTCGCATCATCGGCTTCGCATTGCCGCGCGTCCAATCGACGCAGCTGAGTGCCGTGCGCCGTCACCGTGTCCCGGATGGCCTCGATGAGGGACTGCATGGTCCCAATGTCTTGGGTGTTGCTCTGCATGAGATCCCCAGTGTGTTGTTGGTGCATCTTGAGAAGTTTGGCCACCGTCGCGACTTTACCGTCTGTGGCTTCGATCTGGACGTGCATATCGTGTATTTGGCTCTCGAGGCTCTTGGTGTGCAGGCACGCAGCCGACACGCGCTCCAACTGGATTTCCAAGAACGAGATGTACGCTCCTCGGTCCGTGAGCAGCTTCTTCGTCTCCTCCACGGCCTGCTTTCCTGATGATGCTTTCGCCAGCGCTTTCGATCGCATGAACTCCTGGAAGTACGACCCACGGTCCATCGGCAATACGCAAACGACGTCGCCAAGTTGTATCTTGGCATTTGGACAATGCTCATTGGTGCCTTTTTGGACCAATCAAATACAGCAGTATTGCAGCCCGCCCTGCAACAATCTTTGCATTTTGGTTGCCGAAAACTCTACTATTAATAACTTAACGTTAACTACTTGGAACTTCCCTACTGTATGAGCTACTATTTATACTAGTGAGTTGCGTAAAAAATCGCAGAAAAAGAAATAAAGGAGAAAACTGTATTACTTACTACCTCTGTCCAATTATAAGTGGTCGAATTTCGAAAAAGTCAGTTTTTTCCTTGACCAATGGGAGTTCGGGCATTACAGACAACGAGGGAATTTAAGGCTCATCCAAGTTCTGTGTGTAGCGCAAATTTCACGATATGACTGGATAGCGTAGTTCGAAATTCGAAACATATTATAAAAATTCACCAATAGAAATTTAAGTATTTCGTGATTTGCTGCTGATTAGCTGAAAAAAGTGTGTGACACTCAAAACTTCGATGAGCCCTAAATTCCCTCCTTGTCTGTATATGATACCCATTGGAACGGCAAAAGTGTTAGCTATCCGAATACGATATTATTTACTAATAAAACACAACAAAAGTATACCAATTTCCAGAAAACCCATCAATACTAAAATACACCTTACCGAAGCATTTTTTTTTAGAATGCATAGGAGTCACCATCGTTTATCCGGATAATTCCCGGATAACTATGCGAATATCCGGCTATTCTCCGGTTGTGGTTTGCCGCCAACTCATGGCGCGATTTGGCAATCAAACCGACCAGCCCCAACCACACTTCTTTCCCTCTTCGTTCTGGCCACTCATTTCGAAATATGCGCAAGGGTGAGCGCAAGAAGAACCTCACGGACAGTGAGTGCGAAAACTTGGTGCAGCACCTGCTGACGAAGTGCGCCAGCAGCGGCAGGATTCCCAAGGGTGTTGCCGCAAGCGTTGGCATGTTGTTCGGTTGCCCTGTGACGACTGTTCGCCGTGTGTGGCGACGTGCTGCGGTTGACCTATCCGGGACCAAGACGATTTGCCGCAATGTCCACCAGCGCAAGAAGGACAACTGCGGACGCAACGCATTCACTTGGACCTGCCCGAACGTATCCAGGCCATACCACAGTCCCGTCGTTACTGCTTTCGTTCAATCGCCCACGCGCTTGGCATCCCGAAGTCTACGCTTCACTCCTACTACAAGCGTGGCGTTATCGCCAAGTACTCGAGCGTGCTGAAGCCATCCATTTCGGAGTCGAACAAGGTTTGTCGTCTCAATTGGGCCTTGCAGAACGTGAAGGACATCGATGGTGCCAAGTTCTTCGACCCAATGTTCGACACCGTCCACGTAGACGAGAAGTGGTTCTTCATGTCTCGCATTCAGAAGTAGGTATACGGCGCGCCCGGCGAAAAGATCAAGCAGCGTTCCTGCAAGTCGAAAGGCCACCTGCTGAAGGTCATGTGCTTATCGGCCGTTGCGAGGACACGATGGGACGACAACAAGGAAGAGTGGTTCGACGGGAAGATTGGGACGTGGCACTTCACGGAGACTGTCCCAGCGCAGCGCCGAAGCAGCCGACGCGACGCAGGAACGCCAGTGATGAAGACAGTATCTGTGACACGGGAGACATATAAGAAGATGCTGATCGAACAAGTTATCCCAGCAATCCGATGCAAATGGCCAAGCACCGAGACCAAGACCATCAAGATTCAACAGGACAATGCCCGTCCGCATGCCCCCCCAGTCGATCCTGACGTTGTCGCTGCCTGCAAAGACCAAGGCTGGGACATGGAGGTTGTTTTTCAACCTCCAAACTCCCCTGACATGAATGTCTTGGATCTTGGTTTCTTCCGAGCCATCCAGACCTTGCAAGCGGAGAAGCATTCGAGCTGCCTGGAGGACATCGTTACTGCTACTGAAGCGGCTTGGGCCGACGTCAGTTCAACGACCCTCAACAAGAACTTTCTGACCCTTCAGAGATGTCTTCAAGAGGTTATTCTCAATCAGGGTGGGAATGACTATAAGATTCCGCATATGAAGAAGGATATATTGCATGCTCGTGGTAGGTTGCCAGAAATGGTTTCCTGTGCGAGAATTGCTTGGAGTTTTGGTTGTGCATACTTGAGTGGGGTAAACTATTCTACTCACATGAATAAACTCGCCACGGAGATCCTCGAGAGCATGCAGATGGGTGCAATTTGCACTCAGATTGAAGCATTAAAGGTTGACATTGACGTGGATGTTCATGCCGACATTGCTGCTGCATTGGGCCTCATTCAATTGTTGGATTAGCTGAAGCTCGTAAATTCCGAATATGAAAAACGACCATTCTTTCTTGGAAATTTGATTTCACAAATTCGACCACTTATAATTGGACAGAGGTAGTAATACGTAGAACCACTTTTTCATTTGCTAAAAATATCAGGTTTACTAGTAGTCCCAGAATATGTAGCCAAAAGTTGTGAAAAGCACAATATTAGTATAGTAAGGGCCCGTTCCAAGTAGATATTCAGATACTTTTAAAATAGTATGTGAATTTCTATTAGTGATTAACAAGTAACGCTAAAATGTACTACGTAGTACTTCGAATACTACGTGTACGAGTATGCGACGTCTCGGGATGTTCCCTCATTCGTTGGCTTGATATGTCCTTGTTGCCAAGCTCAACACTACTCGCCTTGTGAGGCCAACGTTATCCTCAACATGTATCACTTCGCTAGCTTTGGGCAATGCCGTCCGCCGACTCTAACTGGATCACGCGTTCGAGGGTTTGTTCGTGGAATTTGACGCTGTACGGGCCAAGTGGTACGCGAACATCGCGGTTGATCGGTTTTGTCATGCCTTTCAAGTCCCAAGCGGTATGGGTAGATTACAGTAGACAGCATGGAAGTGTTTAAGACTTTCCGCTCGAAGCCAGCCATAACGGTCACGTCAGTGGTTTGGCCTTGACTTGTGACGTCACTGCGTCACTCAGTTCATCACGCACGAGGAGCATAGAGTTAGTATAGTGATCTTTATCCTTTTTTTAAGAGCGATCGAAACGACCTGCCCGCGTGCTTTTGGTCGACAGGTTTGACGCGGTTCTTGGCGCCCTTTCGCCCTCGTGATGCCCAGAACGACGTCATCTGTCCCCGAGGTGCCTTTTGAATGGGTGGCAGGGTGGTCGTGGTTGTTGGCTCAAACAAGTACTCGGCTCCGTCGTCGTCGGCGGTGGCTTCCACCGGCACTTTCGCCGCTGGCTTCTTGGTAGCAAGAACCGACCGGCGGTCTTCTTCTTGCTGCATGTGTCGCGCTTCCTTGATCACAGCTTTGGCATTTCGCAGCTTGTCCAGTTCACGCGAGGGGTAGTCAATTGGAAACGAGTACGGCTGCCGGGCCAGCTCCATGTCGCCTTGGGTGAGCGACCCAAGGCAGCCACCTGTGAGCGTCCACACCTTGACGAGGCGATCGTAGGACGCCGTGAGCAGCGTCACACTCGCATTGTCGACGATCACCTGCACCGAGTACACGGCGTCGCTGTGGGCTTGCCACTGGTAGGCGCAGTCGAGGGTCGTTGGGAGGTAGATCAGCGGCATCATCGATTGCGGTTCAAAGTAGAACGTGCACTGCGGCTCCCGGTTCACATACGCCTGCCACTCGACGCCCTCCCTATTCTTCTTGACCAGCTCCGTCGCGTGCACCCGCAGGTTTCGCTGCGGGTTGGCGCAGTCGACTCGCTTTTCCACGGGAAGTATTTGGAACTCGGTTTCGAGCCGCTTGAGAACGGGGAGGAGGTTCCATACACTCAACCCGCCCTTGTCGTCACCACCGACGAGGTAGTACGCTTCGATGGACGCGGTTGCTGACATGGACGGGGGGGTTGGTGCGGATGCGGCGGGGGGGGGATCGCACGGAGCAAACGGGGGGGGGGGCTTGGTGTCTGTGCGTTGAATGTGCGTGGTCACGGCGACCAAGTGCGGATTCGACACGAGCTTGGACGCCCACGGGTTGTGCAGGCGGAAGCGGCACACGCATTTCCCCTTGTACTTGGACGGACGCATGGCCCAAATCGCAATGTTTCCGCCGAGGTCACACGATGCCAGGAGCGGGTACGGGTCCAAGAACACGATCCCCGCGACTCCGCTCGTGTGGCCAACGCACGTCGCGTCCAAGCTACACGATTATCACCATCACCATGACAATCATCATTGTCATGTGACAGTGTGTGTGGTGTATTTTTGTGCTTAATTCTAAACTGAAGCATCAAAATGTACAAAACAGAAGGGTTTAGCCCCAATCAGATTGCAGGAAACAACCATCATCAACGTCGAATTAGTGTGCGAGTTCAATTAGTGTGATACCAATCACCACGGGACACCTTTTCACATTCAAATTCCAGTACAAAGAATCGATCGATGTTGGATTTGGCGATTCAGCTCAAAAGTCGGCCAAATTTTGGGTCAACGGACAACACTTATAAGTACTACGTACCGGCCAAACTCGTAGTCCCAGATCTGCACTGTGCAGTCGAGCGACCCCGTCGCGATAAGCGACAAGTTGTATGAAAACGCGACGCTTGTGATGTCCCCCGTGTGTCCGCCCGTCATCCTCCGCAGCAAAATGCCCCGATCGGGGTCGCTTTCGTCGTGAATGCACACACTCGTGTCCCATGATGTGCTAATCACGGTGCGGTATTCGTTGCAATAGTACAGCCGCGACACTTCGGCCACGTGCGCCTTGTTGTCCGTGTCGGGGTATGCAAAGCACTTCATGTACATGCCGTTGAGGTAGTCGTATACTTTGATGTTGCCGTCGTGGTCGCCCACGATGAACTTGCGGCTGCGGTTGTCCAAACACATTGCAGTCAAGTCTGTACTGCTCAACGCTCTATATATATATATGATAGGCCAACATGGAATTGTGATTATATATATATATATAAGGACGTACTTGTAAATGCGAAGGAGTTTGCCCAAATTGGCGTCCCAAATTTTGATGTCCGTACCCGCGGCCGTGATAAACGTGAGCGAAATCGGGTTGAACAATGCTTGAAATACGGGAAAGTCGTCGGTGAGCTTGGGGTTGCGCAGCTTTTCGTAGTCGAACAACGTCATCTAAACACGCTAATACATGAAATATCTGAAAATAATATTTATTGGTAGGACAAACCCGTTTGCCGCCAGCCACGAGACGCTTGTGCGACGTCACCGACACGAACGACTTGATGTCGCTCATGTTGGCATTTTCCGCCGTGAATGTTTGCATGCACGCAAAATTGCGAATGTCCCACACCTACGTGCACACCTCATGCGTTGTTCCTCCCCACCTTAATCCCAACAAGTACTACAGTACGTAGTACCTACAAGTACTACCTACAAGTACTACAGTACGCACTACCTAGTACTAGTACTCCGGAGTACTACATACAGTACGTACTACCTACAAGTACTACAGTACGCACTCCCTAGTACTACATACAGTACGTACTGTACCTTGAAGACACCGCCGATGTCGGCCGTGATAATCTGGGGGGTGTCGGGGATGATTTCGACGCCACAGAGCGAGTTTTGGTGTCCGTGCAACCGCAGAATGAGCTGGTCGACGTACGGGTTCCACACAAACGCGTCAAAGTCAAAGCCCGCAGACACGAGGAACCGATACTCGGCCGAGTACGCCAGAGACCTCACGCCTTTCAAATGTCCATCTAGTTGCTGCTTGTGCTTGCCCGTGTTGACGTCCCATAGCCGCACGGTCTTGTCCATGCTGGCGGACGCCAGGGTTTCCAGCGTAGGCAGCTAACAGGCCACGTCATATACCCCGTTTCAGTATACTACATACATTGAGCAAGTCCAACACAATGCCGTCGTGCGACCGGGTCAGTACGCGGCCGTCGCGCCCGATGCCGCCCATGTGATGCTTCTCTTCCATCCTGTCGGCATCCCAGGCGTAAATGATGCCGCTGGCGCTCTACAACTTTGTCAGCACAATCCATATGACTCATGCGAACATGATTTGCCCTTTTTCAAACTATATACTTATATATTTAAGAAATTTAAAAAAATCAAAACAAAGAGTACTACTGTTGTCACACGGACTGTCGATTGAAATGCGACACAAAAGACCAATTTGAAAGAAATGATATCGAATACCAATGCATACAAAGCAGTAGCGTTGTATTGTCGATTTGATATACAAATTTGGGGAGTCGACCAAACCGATCCACAATCGATCTGATTGGTTGTTGAAATTCATTGAAATAGTTTTGATTGGCTAATAATTTTGAGCTCATCTGAGGTAGCCAATCAAATCGATTTAAATTCCAACGAGAAACCACGAAATGTCACTCGAAAGCCCAATATGCAGATGCATCATCTGTCTTACGGCAGAGAAGAGCATGTTGGATTGGGTATACCATCGCAAACAATTTTGAGACGTGGGGGTGTGGCAGCTCTTGATCAAACGGTAACTTGTGTCGTCGTAAAAGCGTAGCTGGAGGTCGGATGACGCCACGACGTACTGATTGAGCTATCATATATGTTGTTAAACATCAAGTATAATATGGTGGTCGAGATATCGCATGTTATTACCTTGTCAATGTACTCTGCACAAAGCACAAACCCGTCGGGCGACTTGATCACTCGCTGGAGTTCACACCGTGAGTCATATATTTTGAGGTTCTGCGTCCCATATTCACACACGGCGAGGCGGTCGTTGGCGGGAAAGTAGTACATGCGGTCGATCGTCGCGCTGTGCTTGGACGTGTCCTCCCACGTCGAGTGGTGGTACATCTGGATCGAGTTGGGCTGCTGGCTCTCGAGGCCAGTGTCCACGATGAACGACGTGAACTCCTCCCACTCCATGGATCCGTCGCCATTGATGTCGATTTGCGCGAACAGCTCGCACAAGTACGCGACCAGCTGGGGCTCGGTGAGCTGGTGGAGATGCGACTTGTCGTCTGTGGCGTTCCGGCTGCCCTTGACGAACCGAAGCATCACGTGGACAAATTCGCCCACAGACAGACCGCGCTCCTTTTGCTGGAACTCATCGCGCAACGATCCGACCTTGGCCATGTCGATCATCATCATGATGTCCATCGTGAACCCTTTTTCTGGGTCGCTCTTGTAGTACGACGTGAGCGGGTTCGACCGAAACTCGTGCTCGAGACGCTCGTCGTCGTCCCCAGCATCTTGTCCTGCGTCGTTCACTTGCACCTCCGTGAGGAAGAGTGCTGATGCTGATGGAAGGATCATCGCCCGGCTTTTCCTGCTGCTCGACAGACTGCCGCGGCTTCGCGGCGTCGACGACATGATTTTCTTGCAACGGGTCGTCGAAGTTTCCATGGCGGTTACATTTTCAGCCAATGAAAACGCGTGTTCAGGTTTCCTGTTACCTTTTACACCCTAGAAATGCTGCAATTCTATTGGTTCAAATTCAACCATTTCCTGCGATTGATTGGACATCAAATATAAGCTTTTGGAAATATATTGGATATATTATCAAACGTTGGAAAATTTCACCACTACAACCGGTTGCCCTTGTCGTCCTCGTTTGCTTCTTCAACGTCATCACCGACGAGGTCCAGAATTTCCTTCTGAATCACGGCGGCGTCATCTTCTCTTCCGCCTGCACGCAGCGCTTCCGCCCAGTTGTGCATCGTGGTGATTGTCTCCACGTGCATATCGCCCAGCGACGCCTTGCGCACGGCCGTCGCCTTGGCAAACAGCTCGACCGCCGCGTCGAACTTGCCGAGTTCCTTGTACACGATGCCGAGGTTGTTCCATGCCAGCGCCGTGAGCGGACTTGTGGGGCCGACCTTGGATTCGAGGCGCTCCGCCGCTTCCACGAGGATTTCCTCTGCCTTGGCCTTCTTGTGCGTGTGCCAGTACAACATGCCGACGTTGCACATGCTGATGGCGATGTCCGGATGGTCGGGAGCGAGGATGTCTCGACGGACGCGCAACGATTCTAAAGCACAAGTCAAGGGGTTGCTGCGTTTAGGATGGTCATATGCATCATACCTTCAAAGCACTCGAGGGCGTGATCGATGCCCTCGACCTTCTTCATGCCAGACAAGTTGTGCGCCTGCAAGCGATACACGCCACCCAAGTTGTGCAGAGTCGTGGCCCATGACGCATGGTTCTCGCCCACGCAGCTCTTGTACACGCGAAGAGCAGCCTCGTATGACCCGATGGCCTCGTCCAGTAGACTCAAGTTCTTTTGCATCAACGCCAAGTTGTTCAACGTGCTTGCGTACACAGGGTGGTCTTCGCCAAAGTGATCTCGCACGGTATCGCGGCAGATCTCTGCCATCTCCAAGCCAGACACAAAGTCGCCCTTCCTACCAGCAATCGTCAGTCGTGTAATGTCTTGTGAAGCTTCTTGTCACATACGAATACAGCTCGCGAATCTTGTGCTGCATGCCGGCAATATCGGATTCCACGATCATATAGTCGGAGCGGCGGCCTGGAGTCGACGTCACTGGTACATTGATCTTTGAGAAACGAGCCACTCGAAGAACATTCCTCGTAGCAGGGCGGTGCACGGTCGCCAGCGGACGCAAACTCGCGGCCACGATGCGTTGCATGCTGCGATTCAATTTTGACACCACGAATACAATTCCGGAATATCCGGTTATTCGGTTTCATTATCCGGATTACATCGCACTTCGCGCGTATTTTCAAAAGCAACAATCAACGACGCTGGATCGGCGATCGACCGCGGGACCAACTTCGCCGCGGAGACCTACGAGGTCGACCCCACGGGGTCAGATGTGCATCGAGGAGTCGACGAGACGTACAATGCTCGGCCTACACCCCTGGGAGGTTGAAAGCCTGGTGAACGGTCACCCCGTCGGTCGTCACGGAGAGGAGGAGGACCTCGGCGTTCGTCACCACGGGGAAGATCACGGCGGTCATCGCCTCGAGGAAAGTCGCGGCGATCGTCGCGTGGAGAATCGCGGCGGTCATCCCGGAGCAAACCGTCTCGACGGTCATCAAGTGGACGAAACCGGTCGTCCGGACGACGAAGGGGTTCATCTCGACGTCCACGAGAGCGATCGCGGGAGCGCGAACGGGTGAAACGTGGGGGAGGGGAAGGGTCGCGGCGACGATTGGGGTCGCGGCCACGATCGTCCAAGTGGTTTGATCGCCGATCGTAGTCGTCACGACGGTCGTTGGGGGGACCATGAATGTCCCTACACACGACGAAATACACAACAAAACGTGGGCCACCGCGTCACAACAACCACGGCGACGACACACAGCGCGTTCCATGGGGACACAGCATTGCCACCACCAAGGACACACACCAGCAACAACGTTGGCACGACCACATGGTAGGGATCCAACAATACACAGAATGGACGGCTACCTCCGATTCGAGCTCAAGTCGGTCCGGAGGAATGCGCCTTCAAATTTCAAGTCCGTCCCGTGGGCCCGGGCGGCGGCATTGTACTCGTCAAAGTCGATGAAGGCCGAAATGTTGGGGTTGTTGGTTTTTTGGGGCAGGACTTTCACGTTGCCCACTGAGAGACACAAACACACAACCAGGGGTCAACAATCATCAGCCAAGAGGAGCAACCAGCACACACTGCCATAGACAAGAGGCGGATCAAGTACAAGGACTGCTGACGCTGCTGCCGGCGCGTTGGACCCACACCATCCACGAGGGGCAACCCACGTCACCACCATCGCGTTGCCGCCACACTGCTACAGGTATGTACAAACAAACAGGATACCTCGTCCAAACTTCTCAAAGAAGTCCTTCAAGCGATCAATGGTCGTGTCCGAGGGGATATTGGCCACAAATAAGCTCGTGTGTGTGTCCTGGACAGGGGGCGGCCGATCGACACTGCGACTGCTTCCACCACCAGGACCTTGGTTCCGATTGCGCTCGCCGTCCGTGTGCGCCAAGGACACACGAAGCCTTCGTCCACGGAATTCCACGTCATGCATCACTCGAGCAGCTTCTTCGGCGTCCCGTTGGTCGGGAAAGTCCAGGAACCCATACCCTTTCTTGAGAATCACCTGCCCCATCTTGCCAAACTACCCGGTACATGCGTTGGCGTGGTGAGACCCTGGGGGGGGCTGGCAATATACCTTTTGAAACAAGCTGCGGATGCCAGCTTCGATAACGGCTTCGTCGCCAAACGGCATATTGCCGAGGAACACCTTCACCATGTCGGTTGGCGTGGGGATGAAAGCAACTGTGAGCGTGTGAGGTGCAGAAAATACGGATAGTTAACCGGAATCGGAATATCTACAACAACCCAACAACAGGTCGTGAACCCAACACATATCCGGATGTTTATCCGGTAGCGGTTTCGGACGTCAGAAAAACTCCACCAATCAGCGGTGGGTTTGAAGATCGCCACCTTCAGCCATTCGGCCACCATGTTCACGCTGCTCAAGGACAAATGCTGCCGGTTCCTATGCTGCCGTAAACCCGACACCACACGCGGCACTCCCGTCGGAGAAAAGAGATCTATCAAGGATATCTCCCCAGACACTGAGACCAGCGACGACGAGGAAACCAAACGTCGCATCCGCGCGAGGAACCAAGGCCGTCGGCCATCCGTGAGGTTCGAGATTGTACGTGTTCATCGTGATGCTAATCACGCTCTATCTAGCTCGGGGTCATTGAGCACAAAAGGCCCGGTGCCAGGGAAGAAGATCGTCCCAAAGTCTCCCGAGACTGTTGAACGCATCAAAGGTGCCGTGTCATGCAACTTTATGCTGAACGCGCTTGCGACGGAACAGCTCACAGACGTCATCCTCGCCATGGAAGAGCGCAAGGTGCGAGCAGGTGACACTATCATCAAGCAGGTACTTACCTACCCGTCCACGTTGAGGCACGTCCTATCCATGGCTTATCTCGTACGAAGGGGGACGAAGGCGATTACTTCTACGTGATCGACAGCGGCGAATTCGATGTCTTCACCCGCCAAAACGACCCCCCCACCGTGCCCGTGTTCCATTACACGAACGGCGGAACGTTCGGTGAACTCGCGCTCATGTACAACAGTCCCCGCGCGGCCACGGTCGTGGCGGTCACCGACGGTGCGCTGTGGGCTCTGGACCGTGACACGTTTCGACAGATCGTCGTCACAGCCAACAAGGCGCGCTCCGAGCTCAATCAGACGTTCTTGGCGGGCATGGACCTGGTATGTCACTCGTCCAAGCAAGCGCCACGTCATATGACATGTTGTAGATGGCGAATTTGACGCGGCTGGAGATGGCAACGATTGCCGATGCGTTGCAGCCCGTGACATTTCACAAAGGTGACGTGATCATTGCACAGGGCGACGCCGACTACGCGTCGTTCCATTTTTACATTTTGATCGACGGCACATGCGACTTTGTCGCCGCCGCTGCCGTCATTGGCAGCGTCGGTGCCGTGGGGTACTTTGGCGAAAAGGTGCGAATATGCACTACCTAAATGGCAAGTAGTACTCAATTCTGGACAATACCCCCGTCCATGCAGGCGCTGACGGAAAAGTCCAAGCGCGCCGTGAGTGTGGTCGCGACGTCGCCGGTCGTCAAGTGCCTGAGCATGGACGTCGCAACGTTTGAACGGCTCATGGGACCCTTCCATGTCATTTTCCACCGCAAGATCCACAGCTACGCGCATGCCACCGACAGCCACAACCACCAACGAACAGCTAGTAGAGGTAGTAGCAACGACTTGAGTCGAGTTTAGTGTGTGCCCAATGGAGAGTACTGTATGATGGTGCGATGCGGGGTGTAGTACAAGTGTGGTAGCAGTAGTAGTAGTAGTGAGGCTCATCCTGGCAAAGTGCCCCGATAACGTTCGAGGGTGGTGTCGATTGAAAGGCTATTTGAACGTCGATGGAACAGTACATAGGTATAGCTGATCATCGTTGCCACCACCTACCACCTACGTATTACAATCGTAAAGGTCGAAATCGAAGGGTGTCAGGTGATGAAGGTACGACGGCGAGATGGTATGTACCTCGAGTTGGACGACGAGCGAAAGCGTCCAGGCAGCACATTTACTGCCCACTGCATGCAATGCCATCGCCGCCTGTCTTGATGGCGGCGGGAGCGTCCATGGTAGCATAGAGGACGCAGCGACATGCGCGGCGAAAGTTCGAATTCCTCCAATATTGACCATCGTGGCAGCTCAACGCATCCCAATGGCGCGTTCTGATTGGCTGGTTTTCAACCGTCGCGTTAAGATCGCAGGTGCACATCATAATGCCAGGCAATCGCCACGTTCGATACTTTTGTGGAGCAAATTTGGATGGTTTCGTATATGTATGGGCTGTCCACGGTTCATGGAGCAGGATGGTCATTGTGCCATTCGCCGCTCCCAGCAGACCCCCCTCATGAGCTTCAACGTCCATAGTCTCTCGATGCACATCATGGACTTCACAGTCGACACGACTAACAACGTCGTGTACTACCAACTGGAGCTCCTTGACGACGACTCGGGCGAATCCATGACGGTCTTGCGGCGATACAGTGTCATTGCCGCCTTCCGCACGGCGCTGCTCAAGGAACTAGACGGCGCTTGCAAATGCCCTGCAGACGACAACCGGTGCAAACCATGCCTAGCCGCTCTCAAGCAATGCAACTTCCCCGCCAAAAGCTGGTTTCCCAAGGACGGAATCCAGCCAGAACTGGCCGCCCAGCGTGCGACGGAGCTGTCGTACTTCCTCCAAGATGTCGTCGCTGTTGGTCGTGACCACGCCCCGCTCTGCAGATCCAACCAACAGTTCCTCGAATCTTCCCTCGCCGACGTCCTGGGAGCTCCATCCCTCACGTCCTTTGCGGCGGTGCCGCCGCGCAACCGCAAGGGCGAACGAAGTGCCTCGTGCGAACTCCCGTCCGACACCGTTCGGCCCTTCTTTCGGGACCGATCAGGGTCCGTGCCGATCACGTCCAAGCGGCTCATCCTGTAGTGAAAAATGTCCATCCAAAATTTATCTATTCAATGTATCCACTTATCTATTCACCAATCCATCAACCACTTTTACCGTTGATGGATTGGTGAATAGATAAGTGGATAATCTAATCGTGCAAATAATATATATGGCTCTCATCTATTCTGGCAAAAAGCCCCTCAAAAGTATATTTATTTCGAAATCTATTGTAAATATCCTACAACCACTTGCCCTTGGGCGACGAGCTACTGCCGCCGCCGCCGCCGCTGCTGTGGCCCCATCCATTGTTGTTATCGTACGACTTGCGTCCACTCGAGTAGCTGCCGCCGCCGTTGCGGTTGCTGTAGTTCGAGTTGGAATTTCTCGAAAACCCGCTGTCGAATCGCGAGTTGCCATAGTTGCTGCGTGCGTTGCTGTGGTTGTTGCCACCATATCGCGAGCTGTTCGAGTCGCGGAATCGGTTGCCGCCTCCATAGCCCGACCGGCTGCCGCCGCCGCCTTGTCCGCGCGACCCGCCGCCGCGCTGCAAGCCGCCCACCGTGATCTTGGGCAGCTCCGTCACGGGGGCCACCACCACATTCTTGGACTCGCCATGCTCCAGCACCGTGTCCACATGCTTGTGCGGCACGTCAAAGTAGAACGTGCTGTTGTCGCCCTTGATCACCTTGGAGTAGGGCACGGTCACCTTGACTTCACCGAGGAAGCTCGAGATGGCGTCGGCATTCCACGACCGATCGCCGACCAGACTCAGCGTTTGGATATGCGCCTGCGCTGTGAGCATCGAGTAGACCGTAGGGCCCTTGGCTTCGAAGCCGGCCAGCAACGCCAGCGCCGAACTCACCACATGTAAGCGTTCATCTTCGTTCTCTAGCAACTTCTTGGCCGTGGCTTCAAATGCTTTGCGGCCGTCGAACGCGACGTTGTTGAGCTTCTCCGTGACCGTCGTCATCGCATGCGACAGCGTTTGAGCCGGCAGCGGCGCCGCCGCGTGGTTGAACGTCATGCCAAACTTGGACTCTAGGTCGCGCACCTCACGGATATCGCGCGACTCGAACAAGACGACGTTCACGCCGCGGCGTCCGGCGCGTCCAGTGCGGCCCGCGCGGTGCACAAAGTTCTCCTGGTCGTTGCTTAGACGGTATTGAATCACAAGGTCAACGTTAGCAATGTCGAGCCCGCGTGCGGCAATGTCTGTGCAGATGAGCGTGCGTACGTCGCCGTTGCGGAAGCCCTTCATCGTGGACGAGCGGAGGTTCTGCGAGAGGTCGCCGTGGAGGACGCGCACGCCCTTGGCGCGGGCACTGAGGAACGCCACCAACTCGTCCGCTTCCTGCTTGGTTTCAGTAAAGATGAGCGCTTGGCCCCCCTGCGCGTACAGATTGAGCACGCTTTCGAGCACGTGGTCTTTGGAATCGCGGGAGACCAAGATGGCTTTATGGGCCACCGTGGCGGGGAGCTTCGAGTTGTCTTCGCCGACCAAGTCGATGGTCGTGGGCTTGTTCAGGTACTGCCGCGCGATTGTGTGCACCCACTTGGGCGTGGTGGCGCTCCACATGACACACTGCTTGGTGTCGGGCATGGCACCGAGGATGGTTTCGACTTCTTCCTGGAAGCCAAACTTGAGCATCATGTCGGCCTCGTCGAGCACGCTCACTTCAATGTGCGACAGGTCCAAGTTGCCCTTGTCCATCATGTCCACGACGCGCCCGGGGGTCCCGACCAAGATGTCGATCCCGCGGCGGAGTTCGTTCTCCTGCCCGACGTACGACACGCCACCCACGACAAGCGACACGCGTAATTGCGGCGCGATGCGGCGGAATTCGTCGGCCACTTGCTGTGCCAGTTCACGTGTGGGCAGCATGGCCACGGCGCGTGGCGCGCGCGATTGCGTCGCCGGCGTCGACAACAAGCGCTCGACAATGGGCAATGCAAACGCCAACGTCTTGCCCGACCCGGTCTTGGACCGACCCATGATGTCCTTGCCTTGCATCATGGTCGAAAACGATTCCACTTGCACGGGGAAGAGGTGTGTGATGCCCGCGCGTTCGAGGTTCTTGGTCGTTTGAGCCGACAGGTTGAAGTCCGACAGCGGTTTTTGGTCGACAAAGCCAGACGTGGCTGCCGCGTCGTCCTGTGCGTCGTCAATGTCGACGATGTTGTTCAGGTCGTCGTCGTCGGGGACAAGTGTGGCGGTTGTGACGGTTTCCAATCGAAGATGGGAGAACGCGCGGGAATGGGCCGCGGACGCCAAGGTCACAACGGACGAGGTAGTTGAATGGTGCATGGCGAGGGCTTTGGTGCCGCCGATGGCGGTGCGGCGGAGTGCATGCACCAACAACGAGGACACTTGTTTCGAGAGCATGGTGGTGATGCTGGATGATCAAGTTGCGAGAATGGAGCACCCAAGGAAGTTCAACTCCACAGACGACACACCAATCAAACTCGGTCACCATTCATTGGGCCGAAAAATACCTACGTCGTTAAACTCAGGGAATATACAAACTTGAGCTGTTCATTTTGAATGTGTGTCAGTCTACCCAGGTAAAATATGATTTCACGACGAAGGTTTGGCACGTTCCTCGCCATGTGATTGGCTGCGCAGTCTCCTCTCACAATCAATATTGATGTGGGTTGCCCATGTATGCGTTATCGCGAGGATTGCGTGTTTTTGCACCAGTTTACAATATCAATCTCTCGAAACGAAGCCGCGCCGGCCGTCGCCTTCCTCGGCCGCCATCCATCGTCGTGATGATCATGCGCGAATGAAAGCAATGGAACGAGGTAATGTATATATAGGCAACAGAATTAGATATACAAAATAGCATGGCTACATATGTCCTGTGCTACACGCGGCTACGCAAGAAGGATGCCAATCTTCTGTGGATTGGCGTACTTGAACTTGAGCAGCTCGGGCGCGACGGGCAGCGACAGCCACTTCTTGACGTCCGCCGACGCATCTTGCGCCTTTTCGTGGCCCACAACATGGGTGGACGTGTACTCCTTCCACACGGTCGAGTCGCGCAGGGATGTGGACACTTGGTTGCCAGGGATGATGGACAGCACCGACAGGAACCGCGCGATGGGCGCCTTGATGTTGCCGGCGATGGCGTCCGGCGCCGACAGCAAGTTGAGCAGCGCCGTGACCATCGGGCCCATGGCGGTCGACTTGGCAAAGTTAATCGACAAGTTGGTGTGTCGTTTCAATGCCGTTGTGTGGATGTTGAGGAGGAGCTCGACGTCTTGGTGGTTGTTGCCAGCCGACATGAGGGGTAGCGTCCTACAATATATATATATATATATATTGTCGATTCAAAACATTGGAGTGCTCCATGAGCACAATATATTTCAAATCGGCAGACAATCGATCGATATTTTGACCAATCAAAACCCAGATCACGCATATCAAGTAGCCAATCAAATTATCCACTCTTCAACCAAGTCTACAACATCGAATTAGTGTGTGACTTGAATTAGTGTGATACTGGACGATCTCAACATACAAAAGTCAAGACAATCGATCGATCCATTTAGCGCAAAAATCAGCCAAATTTTGGGTAAAAAACGACGACAGTTTGTTTGGCTGTTTGGTAATAATAATAATATTATATTGGTGGTGTTGGTTCTTTTCGAAAGTGGACAGAGCGACATGAAGGCTAGATTGCATCGATCGACACAACCAAATAGTACATGTAGTACATACAGATTTGTATCGGCCGACGACCCATGGAGCCAATCACATTGCAGGAAACAACCAGCATCATCCACATGTAATTAGTGTAAGACTTTAATTAATGTGACACCAACCACACACCGTTTTACAAATCAAAAATTCAAACAAGAGATAATCAGCACAAAAGTCCACCGTGTTGGCTTGGCAATAGATGATATATCCATGGACCACGAACGTACTTGGCCAGCGCGGCGGGATCCATGCCGCTGACGAGCTTGTCGATGCATGTAGGTACGAGGCAGAGGTTGCCGACAAATTGCAGCGCCACGCGGGCCAACTGGCCTTCGTCTGACTCTTTCCGCTTGGGGAGGTGGGTGTACACTGTCGCAAACATGGACTTGACGTACAGCGGGATCTTGTCGGCGATCTTTTCAATGCACTTTGGTGAAAACATGGCCACGTGGAGGCACTCCATCACGCGGAGCTGGAAGTACGGCGCCTTGTCGGTCGAGAACCGGATCTTGGTCTCGTCGTGGTCGAGTCCGGCGAACAGCGTTACGATGCCGTCCACGTCCACCAGCTGCATGTCCATTTCGGGTGTGTGCTGGAGCATGTGACGCACCGCCGTCACCACTGGCAGCATGCGGTCGCGGAGGGTAGCCTCGAGGGTCTCGGGGCGGGCGCGCACGCCGGCAATGTCGTGGGACAGCGAGCTCAACAGGTTAGCCATCACGCGCTTGCGGATCTCGGTCTGGTCGGTCACGTGGGTGCCGCGGCCCGTGCGTTCGTCCGCGAGGCCAGACGAGATGAGCGCCGTGATGCCGCTCACGGGGTCGTCGTTGTAAAAGTTGACGTAAATGTCGGCCACGCGCAGCTCCGACACTTGGGCGTCGTACAGAAACTTATCGGGCAAGGCAAACTCGTGGGAGGCGGCGTGCGCTTCGGCGGCGAGCGCCAGCAGCTGCGTCCGCATCGACGCGGTCCACATCATGTGCGGCTTCTTCACATCATGCGACACGACGCGCAAAAACATGTCTGGGTCGCTCTGACTCAGGAGCAAGTCTATCAGCGGACGCGTAAAGATCTGGTCGATCGTGCGCTGCATGCGGCCCCGGGCACTCGTGGCCGGCGCGTTCTCGGGTTTAAGGAGCCCCTTGAGCGCCTCCGCCGCCAGCGTCCGCGTCCGCGTCTGGCCGGGGGAGTCGCAGATGATCGGCGCGAGGAACCACACGACGCCGCGCTTGGCCATGGCGTCCAGGAGCTCGTCCGACTTAGCAGACCCGATGGCCATGCCCTGCACAATCTCGAGCGCGAGCGCCGTGAGGTCCTGCGATGGCGTCGTCAGGTCCAGGTACGGCTGCAGAAAAGGCAGAATCGACAGCGACGGCGACGACGAGAGGCCGTCGCGGCCCAGCGGCTGGTGCACAATCAGGTTGAACGTCTGCAAGAGGAACCGCGTGGGCGCGAGGTCGTTGGCGCGGTGAGCATGAGCCAACGCCAGCGCATCGTACATGACGCGGAGCCCCGACACGACGGTCGTGTCGTTCATGGTGTTAATGATCGCGCTGCTGTGGCAGGCGGCCGTGATGACGGCGAGCGCGCTCAGGAAGACATCCCACTGCGGCGTCGGCATGTCATTGCACTTTTTGAGCGCGAGCAAGAGCAGCGAAAAGTTCAAGTGGTCGTGCAGCTTGGCTTCGAGCGACGACCAGAACCGGCGAAACAGCAAGCTGATCGAGTCGAACACCATCACAATGTCCAATGTCGACAGCTTGGTCAGCGACGGGTACACCCACGAGTGCACGGCGTCCATGAGCGCTCGAAGGAAGGCGGGGGGGTCATTGATGGGCCAGTTGGGAAACGTCGTGTCGTCCAGGAGGTTGTGTAGGTAGTACTGGTCCACTTGCAGCTTGTACACTTGTTCGGGGTACGCAATCAGCGGTGTGGTCGTGTCCTCTTCGGCCACAGACAAGGTAAACTCGCCATGTGGTTGACTGGTGTGGCTAGCAATGAAAGCATCGACTTGCACCAGCATTTGCTCGCGCAAGGTGGCGTTCCAGAGGGTTTCAGGGTCGTTGGACGTGGCAAAGTACACGCTTGCAAACTTGTGCGAGCCGTGCCGCACCAGCTGTGCCACAAGGGACACGGGCAGAATCTTGATAAGCCAGCTCTTCATGCATCGCTGGGTGAACGACGGCGTCGGGTTTGCATTATCCAGCAACTTGGTGAGCTCTTCGGGTGTGACGTGAACTGGCCGCTGGCGCAAATGGATGGGCGTGACGAAGTTGGCCACGACAAACATGTCGTCCTCGGTCCGGGCGTTCCGGAAGAGGTAGTAGAACAGCCCCGTCGTGTGCAGCGTCGGCACGAGCGACTCGTTGTTCTGGATCAACAGGTAAAACAGGTGAATCACCTTGCGAAACACGGCGCGGCTCGGGTGATCCAGCAGGGTCACAAGGAACTTCAAGTGCGTGGCCAGTGCGCGCTTGATGTAGCTCACGGGGCCCACGGCGGCCGTGGTCGTGGGCTGGTTCCCGACAAAGTACTCGGACTTTGCCAGGTCGTCGTGGTGGGTGGTCTGGCAGTGCACGAGTTTCATGAGCACGACCAAGCATGTCTGCACGATGCTCGTGGCTTCGTCGGCATCGGCATCGGCGGCATCGGCATCGGCGGCATCGTTCCCTTCACGGAGCAGCCGCACGACCAGCTCTAAGTTGGCCGGTTCGTGGAGGAACCGAGTCACGTTAACCGCGTTGGATAGCACGCGCTCGACAAACAGCATCACATGGCCGCGCAATGTGCGCGACCACGTCGTGGGGGATGTCATGGCGATGCGCACAAACTGGTTGAGGAACACAAGCGACCGGATCTCGGTCGGGTACTTGTTGTAGAGAGCAGTCATAGTCTTGACGCACAAGAGGCGAACATGTTCGTCGGTGGAGGGCGCGAGGACGCGAAAGTAGAGCAGCGTGATGAATGCTTCGACGTCGACAATGTCCTCGGCGAGGTCGCCGTGGCGATTGAACAGCGCCTTGAGGTAGTACGCCCCGACGCGGACTTCGTCTTTCAAGCATGCAAACTCGACGACAAACTCGTCGGCGTTCCAGTTCAAGAACCAAAATGGCTTGGGTGACGCTACAATGTGCTGGTGCTGCTCGACATGGTGCTGGTGGTGCGCGGGCACGTCGTCGGCGGCAGTGATGTCGTCTTCCTTGTCGAATGGATCGGAGGGCGCGGCGGTGGAGGTGGTGGCGGTGGTGGTGGTGGCTACGACGCCGCCAAACACGGCGGGAAACGCGCTCGAGAGCGCGTCGGCATCGCGACGGACGCCTCTTTCCATGGACGCATCCAGCGCCGACTCGGTGCGGTCCGTCGGGCTCGACAGCAGGAAGAAGAAGTACGTGAGACGGTTCAGATCGAACAGCGATAGCTCGTCCACGAGTCGCGTCTGCAGCTCGGCCAAGTTGTGCGCATCCCACTTGAGGTCCTTCTGGACGACCACGCCGCGCAGTTTATCAAAGAAATCCGGCAGCAGCACCACGCACTTGGTGGTTGCGACGACGTGGGCGCGGGACGTGACGCCGGCGTGCACCTTGTCGGACGCGAGTACCGTCAGTCGTTCGTCGGCGGTGGGTGGCGTCGTTGGAAGCACCGACGACGACGTGGCGGGGTCCGTCGCACCCGTGTTGTGGAGTCGGGAGGCCGATAGATCGGTCACGTTGGAGAGCGGCGCCAGGGAAACAGCGGTCGTCGTCGTCGGGGTGGCGGCATTGTTGGTTGGAGCGGACAAAGAAGCTGAAGATGGAAGGAGCACCGGCAACCGGCGGCCAAACTCGTCGTACGAGCACTTTTCCGGCGGGATGTCGCCAAGGAGTGCGTGGGGAAAGATGTTGCGGATCAAGTTGGACGACCGCGGGTTCTCGTGCGTGAGAAGCGCGACGAGCTGCGACGAGATGCGGCGCTGGCTGTGGTCGTGGCCTCCAAGACTCAGGTACAGCTGCCACAAGAGCGCGCCTTGAGTCCGTGCAAAGTCCTGAATCTGCTCGACGAGCTCGGACGGCTGCTCGAGCACGTGCACCTTGACAAGGATGGACGACGCCTTGGCAATGCCAAACGATAGCGACCGGTTCAGTGTAAACAGCGTGTGATGGTGGGCAAAGTCGTCAATGTGCATGGCGTTGAGTAGGTCCCGATGAACCTTTTCCGGCGTCGACCGCTTGCCGGACGCAAGACATACCTCCATAGTCGCCAGGACCGAGTGGAGGACCACAAAGTCGAGGCCGACGAGGGTCGAGCTGAGCACGCGGTTCATGAGCGGGTTGGGCACGACCGCGGCGTCGTACACGTTGGACGTTTGCGCTGCGGGGTCGAACACCCGGTTCACAAACAGGTTGGCGCGCTTCTCCGTGTGAAACACGGCCTTGCGGTTAGCCAGCTCCATCTTGACGCTGTTCTTGTCGTTCGAGTAGTTGACCACCAAGCAGTTGATGACTTGGGCAGCGGCGAGACCGACTTCGGGGACAGGCGAGTACAGAAACTCCATCACAACTAGCACCACTTTGCGGTATTCCTTGCGCAATACCTCTTGGAAGCCCAAGCTTGTGTGGAGAAGCCGCTGGATGGCCAGCAGCAGCGCGACCTGCAGCTGCGCCGACGGGATCGCCGCGTGGGCGTTGCTGGATGGGTCCTTGATCTTCAAGCTAATGTACTCGCGCATTTGCTCGACGACTTTGAATAGACACGCCAGTGGCTTGGCGACGCTCTTGGACGAGACTGATCCCACCGGCACGTTCTTATTGAACTGCTCCAGGAACCGAAACAACTGGTCAAAGTACTGCTGGTTGTCGTGCGTCGACTTCCACGTCACGAGCAGCTTCTTGAGAAGGATTTCCTCCCACTCGGCATTGCACTCGCCGCTCCACCCGCCGACTTTGCACCCCAGCGGCGTCTCTTCCGTCGACCACGACACGTGCTTCTTGTTCTTGGCAAACACTTCAATCACGTTGCTCATAAACAAGTTGCGACTCGCGGATGGCGTCAGCAACGTCGTGGATCCCGCGGTAGCAAACGACGGGTGCGATGTGAACGTTGGGTCCATCACCGCGGCCTGCAGCTCCTTGACGCGGTGCTGGTCGGGTACTTGGTCCAGGCCGAGGCCGACCTGCGGACTCCGCACCGCCGCGGCGGTCGCGACGCTAGCGTACCGCCTCGTGCGGCCGTTCTTGAGCTCAAGCGAGAGCTTCTCCGGTTCATCGGGGGACAATACGACGTTGAACACATCCGAGAGCGAAATCCGGACCAGCGTGCGGTGTGTGACAGGGTCGCGCTCCAAAATATCGGACCTCGTCAACGCAAGCGTCACCGCCTTCTTGATGCTGCTGCGCTTGCTGCGACGGAGTACCGGCATCTCAAACAGCACCGAGACTGGGTCATTCAGCGGGTACACGAGCGAGTCGTACTCGAACGCGTCGGGCACCTCTTGAACCTGCAGCGGCTCCTTGACGATCGTGCGGAGGTTGTTGATTACGACCCCGATGAACGCCTCGCGCTCTTCGCACGTGTACCGCGTGGCCGTGATGTTGCTCTTGTCCTGCTGGTAGTACAGCACCAACCCGTGCGGGTCGTTCTGAAGCTTTTGCACCTTGAGGATGTCGGTGAGAGAGATGGACGCAATGGGTTTCTTTGTCTTGGGGTCCAATCTAGTAGATAAAGATGGGTCAATAACATATCATGTGCTATGGATTATTCGATCCAGAAGAGAAGAAGGCATACAAAGTTACATGGAGAATGAAGCATGATGCATCGACACCTGTGTACATAGCCATATTGTGTATTCGATTCGAAATTAGAGTGAATCTAAGAATAACCAAGACAATCGATAGATACGACCAATCAAAACACAACACATGAATCAACTAGCCAATCAAATCATCCACTCTTTGAATCATTCAACATTGAATTCGTGTGTGATTGAAATTAGTGTGATACTGGATGATCTTTACAAAAGTCAGGACAAAGAATATCGATAGATTTGGCAAAGAATCCACACAAAAGTAGTCCAAATATTGAGTAATGCACACGAATCAACTGGCCAACCAATATCCAGTGTTTGACCAAGGCAATTTCGAATTAGTATGTGACTGAAATTAGTGTGACGATCTTGACATTTACAAAAGTATATTGTCAGGACAATCCATCGATATCGATAGAGATATATGTGGCGAAGCAGCACACAAGTCAAAATATATATCACGAATCAAGCGACCAATCAATATCCAGTGTTTGACCAAGGCAATTTCGAATTAGTATGTGACTGAAATTAGTGTGATGACCTTCAAATATAATATTTCGGGTCAACGGACAATCAGGATCGGCAGAAGATTGCAGCAAGAACCAACTAACATCAAAGTAGTGTATGACTGAAATTAGTGTGAATCCAATCACCCCAGGCCATGATTTCACATACAAACATCAAACAAAATCGATCGATAGATGTGGTGCTGAATCTTCAGCACCACACGACCAAAGTTAGTGGGGGGGTAAAAGAACCTTACCGGTCCAGTGACGCGCGGCGCACTTCGAGCAGCACGAGGGTATCCACGGGGCTTGTCGCAGATCCCTTGGTCTTGCTGCGTTTCTTCATGACGTACGTCGGGGTTTGGAACAACGTCGCAGCTTGATCCTTGTCGTTGGGGCGGTCGCGGTAGTACAGCTGGTAGTACGACGACAGGAATTGGTTGCGGGTCTCCTTATCCTTGCAAATGTACGTGGACCGCGCGTTCGTCGACTTGGTGACGATGGTGAAGCTCAACGCGTCTGCGGCGATCACTTCGCTGATGTCCGAGTATGCCCACGTGTCGGTGGTTTGCTCGTTCGTTGGGTCCAACGCAAACAAGTTCAACGGACTCAGCACGAGCAGCTTCGGCTTGGACCCAAAACCGAGCCCCCACCCGGCCAATGTGACCCAGAATCGCTGGGCGTAAATGACGCCAGACAGGCGGTTCGCAGGGACGTCCGTGTCGACCAACTCCTTGTCCTTGTTCGCTTCGTACTCCTTCAGCGCGGATTCCGTCCATGGCACGTACCCTGTGTGCAGTTTGACAACGTCGGGATGGGCACCGCCGTACGTCAGGTATTCCTCGAGCGTTTCCTCGAGGTCCGCATCCGACGACTGCAAGTGCGATCGCTGGCGAAGCAGAAGAGTCGATGGCGCGATCGCAACTTCTTCCTCCGTCACGTCCGAAGATGCTGCCGGCACCGAGATTGACGACGATGGCGCGTGGTCGTCGTCGTCATCGTCGTCGGATTCTTCGTCGTACTCTTCTTCCGAATCGAGGTGCAAGGTGGCGGGGGCTGCCTCCACATGCTCATGCTCATGCTCGTCTACATGGACCTCCACGTCTCCATGGTGCTCATACGCCGACGACATTTCTGTGGAATGAAGCGCGAAGGACGCGCGACGCTCGTCTGGCTGTCGGAAGTGAGAAAGTGACCCACCGCACTGACTTGGATAAAATAAATCATTTTTCACTTTTAATCAACAGTGTATACAATTTTCAAGTGTAAATTATATCGACGGGTTGAATTGCTGCGGCGTCCTTGCTCCCCAAAGCGAAGTTGAACCTACTTGGGGAAATCCGGATAAACCGTATACTACTACAGTACAATTTACAGAGTTTTATCACCAAATATGGGCATACTAGTATTATACTTTCGTTAAACGAGAAATACACGTAAAACCCATTCTACAACTTAAATAACGTCACCAAATATGGGCACGGTATACTTGCGTTAAACGAGAAATACACGTAAAACCCATTCTACAACTTAAATAACGTCATCCTGTAGGTGATCCGGATAAAGTAGTATTTAGGCATATCACGATTTTAACTTCCCAATTCAAGGCCAAATGCCTAATTTAAGGGGTAACGGGAAAAATCGGATTTCGCGCGACGAGGCTCATGGGCGGCGGCGGGTTGCGGATCTTGGGCCACAAGAAGTGGCATGTCTGGACACGAGAGAACATCGAGAAGGTCCGCCGCGACGAAAGGCTCCATGATGAGAAGACAAAGAAGGATACTCGGGAAAAACGCAAGCGAGACCTGGACAGCCGCGTCGAGCACCTCAAAGGAACAAAACCTACTACGTCGTCACCTTCGCTCTCGGCGCCACCATCGTCCGAGTTGAAACACATCAACTTCTTCCAGGATGCCGAAGATCATAATAACAAGATGCTGATGGACCCCCCGAAGCCAAAAGAGTTTCACGAGGAAGGAGTGGCGCTCGGTGGGGACTTGAATCCTGCGTACAAGCCGCAGTACCCTCCGTCGAAACGGCGCAAACAGCAGGACGCGAAGAAGAGCCATCCTTCGTTGCCATGGTATGCACATGCCAAGGATGACGACACCGACAAGGAGGATCATCACAGGCGCGACACATTTGCCGACCCCATGGGCGACCTCCTCGCCCATCCACCGCCGTTTCTTGAAGCAAAAAAGGCAGTCGTGTTCAAGCGTATCGACTTTGCAGGCGACAAAGTGATTAGCACGCGCGACACGGACCAGGAGAGGAAGCTCCCGTCGTCTTCTTCTACCAAGCCGCGATCGTCCAAGCCTTCCAAGGCATCATCAGGCTTGTCGGTCATGGAGAAACTGCGGGCAGAGCGGCAAGCGCGGGAGGCGCTGGAGCGATCCCGACGGATATAATATCAACATGAGGAATGATTCCCGAGCATGTTGTGGATGCACGCACACTGATCGTGTCAGACACACTAGTGCAATAATCTCGACCAAGTGCACTGTGCCATAATTGTTTTTGATTTAAATAAGGAATTTAATAAAAATTCTTTTTGTATTTTTTTAATTTCTCGCTCTACCAACTTGCCTTTTACCCAAAAAGATTTGGGACTTTTGTGCTGTGAATCGCCAAATCGATCGATTATCGATTGTTTGTACTGAACTTTGTATGTAAAACCGGTATGTCCTGTGGGATAGGTATCACACTAATTGAAGTCACACACTAATTCGACGGTTGTTTCCTGCAATCTGATTGGCTAAATATATCCTATTCTCGTGTACATTTATGGTGTCAACACATTCCTTCTCCATATATGTCGCTCCAGTTTGGAATAATCAATATCTAAAATCGCCGGTACGCTGCGTCGTAATACTCTTGCGTGGTGAACAGCCCCTTCCACCCCCGCCCCATGCGGCGGCCTTCGAACTGCGCCAGCACGTACAGCCCCACATGGGCCTCGGCGTACTTGATGGCCATCACCGCCAGCACCAGCCCCAGCACGTACTCGCCCAGGTACGCATGGTACACGGCATCGCTTACGAGTGCCCCGAGCATGTTGATCCAGCATACATGCGTCCACAAGATAAACTATATAGTACATGATACACATGAATGTGGTTTCAATCAGAGGTATTTTTCACAATATCTATTTCAGATATGAAAGATATATATATATATATTTCAGAGGGGTATATATTTATATTATATATATATATATATATATTTCAGAGGGGTATATATTTATATACTGGTATATGTATTTCAGACGGACATATCTTTATATATATATATATATATATATATTAGATGGATATATATTTGTATATATTTCAGATGGATAGATGTTTATATACCACTACATAGTACTAGTATTTTGTGTCAATGGGATATATATTTTCGAAGAACATAAGATGAATCGAATATGGAATATATATATATATATATCTTTCATTCCTGGATAACAATCTCGTCGTGAGGCTTACCAATCGGCCGAGCAGCGAGTGCCGCTGGAGTACAAACACGATGCCGAGGACAGGCGCGCCCAGCACCGCTCCAGGCATGCACAGGAGCAAAAGCTCAAACGCCACCTATATCCCATCTCAATACCTCACAACTCCCATCTAGAAAACTACTAGTATCTCATAATATATATATATATATATATATATATATATATATATATATAAACGGGACAAACCTGCGAACACCCCGTGCCTTGGGCCATAGGGTCCAGTACTTGAATGCAAAAGTACTCGATCAAGATCCACAACATGGTGAAAAAGTCCACCGACAGCAGCAGCAGCAACGAGTACGGTAGCAGCCACGTGTATGGGGTAGCCACCACTTGCACATGCGACCACGGCGCGAGTAGGACGGGCACGGAGGACCTCCACGCCGACAGATCCACGGACGGCGATGTCCGCCGCATCTTGGATGGACGACTGGCGGCGGACGAGTCGTCTTCAAGCAGGGGCGTTGTGTGGGCCGACAGCAAAGAGGACGGGTCTGGGGCGTACAGGGCGGCGTATCGGATGGAGCTGACGGCGGGCATCGATGGCGGCGGCGGTGGGGGGGATGTAGCAGACGTCTTGTTGGCCGCCGACGCAGGATGGCAAACACGACGACGACGTTCATTGTGGACAATAAAGATAGCCCATTTCGAGTGAGGGGGGAGCGACTGCGTTTCAAACACGCGTTCGAAACAGTCGTCTGGTATCGACACTGCAAACGACACGTGTCGGCCGGGTGGTGGTGCATCGTGTCGAGGCGACGTATACACGCCAAACTCGACCTACAACGCCACTCCCTGGTATATACATATATATATATATATATTGTCAAGTCGATGTATTCGAAATATTGGAGTGTTTGGGTTCTCAATCAAATGGCCACCATATCGACAGACAATCGATATACGACCAATCAAAACCCACAACACGAATCAACTACCCAATCAAATTATCCACTCTTCGACCAATATATTCAACACCGAATTAGTGTGTGACTGAAATTAGTGTGATGCTGGACGATCTTTACAAAAGTCAAAGAATCGATATATCGATAGATTTGGCAAAGAATCCGCCCAAAAGTCAACCAGATTTTGGGTAAAAGAAGACAATATATATGACCACAGACACCCGTGGATGGTGTCGTACCGTGTGACCATTGAGCACGTCGCTGTCGTTGAACGCATGCACGTGGTCCAAGATGGCGTCCAACGACCCCGACGGAGTGAGCAGTCGCAGGTGCTGGTTCATCGCCGCAATAAACTCGAGCCACACAGAGTCGCGCAGGATTTCCACGCGCGACGGCACCGCGCGCAGCAATGTGTCGTTGGTGTCGAGGTAGTACGGACACATGAACGATCCAATGCCGGCGGCGACGAATAGCAGCGACGGCGGCGGCGGCGGCGCCTCGTGGGTGCGCTGGACAGCGTCCGGGCTCAACAGCACGTCGACGTACCCCAACGAGTAGTCGGAACTACGAATGCAAAGTGAACCAATCAACCAATCACCGACGACTAGTAGGACTAGTTATATATGTTGGAAAGGATAAATACAATTTGATTGATTCTGTATATATTGTTGTGTGTTTATAGTCTAACACTGGAGCGACATGTGGAGAATGAATACCAAATGTGTACACAAGAAGCATCGGCAGATATGGATTTAGCCAATCACATTGCAGGAAACAACCATCAACATCAAATTAGTGTGTGTGTGACTTCAATTAGTGTGATATCAAAAATCCCCACACGACAACACCTTTTGACATACAATTTTCAGTACAAACAATATAAATCGATGATCGATCGATTGACGGCAAAAGTCAACACTAATTTTGGGTAAAAGACTACCTGTATCCTAGAATCAAGTGCGCGCCCGTGACTTGAACGTCCAGATCGCGGAAAAACCCAGTGCCGTACTCGGTCACAAAGGCAAACAGCAGTTTTACTGTGGCGCGCTGGTACAGTCGCAGCATCCACGTGGCAACCGGAGGGACGACCAGTCGAGCCAGGCGCTGTACATGTGCGACACGGTTCCACGCGGCAGCGTGATTGGTGCAAATGGCATTGCACTTGGAGGCAAACCCAGCGTACGAGCCTTCGTACATGGTTTTGCGGAGGTTTGGGCTTACGACGAGGTCGGTGGAGAGTTGCCACGGCTGCGACAGAGTGTTGGCTCCGTCAAAGTACAAGCGCGCAACGTGAAACGTCAGCTGGTGGTCCGTCAGGCGCGGCAGGTGCGTCGACGGCGACGGCGGCGCGGGCGCCCGCACGGCCGTGTACTGCTTCAATATAGGGATCGACCCGCCGCCGTTTCCGTACGACGACACGTACCCGTACATGCCAAATACACTCAGAACTGTGACAAAGCACAGCACGACAAACCCCACGGGGCCTCCGATTGGTTGAATAAACTCTTCGAATGGAGTCAAGCAGTCCAGTCCAATGTGCCCCTTGTCACACATGTACGCGCACGACCCGTGTTTGTTGTACGTGGCGTGCTCGGGCTTGACAGAACACCCGCGACACGCGACGGCCCCCGGCCCCGCCGTCGTCTCGCCGACGCCACAGTCGGCGCAGTGGGAACTGCCGTCGACGGGCGCGATGGTGCCGTTGGGGCACAACGTGCAGCCGGACGCGCCTTTCTCGTCGCTGTAGCTCCCGCGGGGACATTTCACACAGATCGACGCGCCTTCTGTGGGGGAGTACAGCCCCATACCACACATAACGCACGCGCGACTGCCGGGGTTCGGGTTGCATTGTCCTGATATCAATCGTCGCTTTGAAATCCAATTGACGCGAGTATTTTACTCTATAGTGTACCTTTGGGGCACGGAGTGCATGTCGTGGCGCCCTCGGTATCGCTATACGATCCTACCATGTTTATATACCAGTGTTGGTGTTGTTTATTGTCGAATCGCGCCGACCAAACCGATCCACAATCGATCTGATTGGTTAAATTTCATTGAGAAGGTTTTGATTGGCTAATAATTTTGAGCTCAAGTAGCCAATCAAATAGATTTAAATTCCAACGAGAAGCCACACCACGATGAAATGTCACTCGAAAGCACAATACTCGAGTATTTTCTAAACTGGACCGACATATGGACAATTGATTGATTATATCGACACGACCACCAATAATAATAATTATGAATATATATAGAAATAATAATCGTAAATATATAGAAGAATGTTATCGGCAAAAGAATGGAGCCAATCAGATTGCACGAAACAACCATCAGCATCAACATGGAATTAGTGTGTGACTTCAAATTCGTGTGATACCAATCATCTTAAGGCAACTTTTGACATACAAAATCCCAGTCCAAAGAATCGATCTATAGATTGGGAGAAAATCTGCACAAAAAACTCCAATGTTTTGGGGTAAACGGACAATATGACATTTGAAAGAATGAGACGCCGATATATATATATATATTGTGAATTCGCTATAAACTTCCAAAATTCGCCTGGTTTGTTGAATCAATATTGAATCACGCTGGAGTTCTGATTGGTTGAATATACTTATCCTTTCTGTAAGAGCCAATCAAATCCACTCAAAAATGGAGTAGCCAATGGCGTCGATTCGAGATTCGATTCGGCAGCGAGATTCGATTCGACGGGGTCTGGAAATTCGTACTAGTACTAGTATCGAATATACCACAATATATATATATATATATACCAATCGGACATGCAGTGCAATCGACATCGACGGCCGGACTGAACGTGCCGGGGGTGCACGGCAGACAAAGCAGCCCGCCGCACCCGCTTCCGCACGCATCCCCCGTGGCCACGCCGTCCAATCCTGTCTGGCCAGCACTGACCCCCCCGGCTAGCACCACTTGGCCATGGAAGTCCCTTCCGCTTCCTTGGGCTTGATAGTGGATCCACATGACACCCCCGCCGCCGCCGCCGCCGCTTTCGACGCTCGTTTTCGTCACGTCCGTGTCAGTCGAAGAAGTCGCACCGACGGACGACCCGCTGCCGCCAGACAGGTCGAGCACGCCGTCACCAGCCACGTTTGCCACGCCACCGAGCACAATCGTGCCGCCAGACCCGCCGCCGCCGCCCCGGGTACCGTTGCCGCCTCGAACAGACACCACGCCGTCCTTGGCTATCGCGATCGCTTTCACCGCAAACACGAGCAACCCCCCGCCGTCGCCTCCACGGAACGGCGCCTCGCCTTCTTCGTGAGACGCGGCGCTACTCCCAGGCCACTGGGGCCACCCAGAGGTTTCAAAGGCGGCGCCCGCACCTTCTTTGACCGGCATGACGTTCCCGCCAGCCCCGCCGTGTCCTGCGCCGCCACTCGCCAACCTGCGAACCGCCCGGCTGTGCCCTGGCCCTTTCCCGTCCGCACAGCCCAACCCATCGGCGGATATGGTTCCATTGATAATTGCTTCGGGACTGCACACCAGCAGCGACGCCACCGCCAACGAGCGCGTAAACGACACGGACGTCGACGCGGCGATGGAAACGGCGTACGGCGGCGGCGGGTCCGCACCGCAAACCTCCGACAACTGCGTCGGCCACACGCGGCAGATGTCTGTGCCGCCTCGGATCGGATACAGCGGACGGACGTCGGCGCCTCCCACCACGTCCACATGGCCTGCCGCGATTGACACTGCACTCAACGCGCACGACACGTGCAACTGCACAGTGCCGTTGGTCGCTACGATCTGCGATACAGAGTACATACATGATTACGACAATGATATATATATATATATATACTGTACTACCTCCATCGGTACCAACACTTGACTAGACGAATCCAAGTTGACTGCGACACTGCCGTTGTGACTGCGCAGCGTCGTCGCACGAAACCTCTGGCCGATACGCGACGGCTGGAGGTCCACGTGCCCTCCCAGCCGCACGTTCAAGGTCGCTTCTATAGCCACGAAATGACTGGCCAGGATCGCTCCGTTCGACTCGAACGTTGAAGTCTGACCAGTCAGCGAATACACGACCAGCTGCGACGTCGATGCCAACACGATTCGGTCATACGCTACCAATAGAACGTTTTGCTTGTCTTGGGTCACTGGACCCACATAGCCCTAATGTACACAAATGTGTAGGAATAGTACATGTAATAGAAGTACATGTAATAGTAATAGTAGTAGTAGTAGTAGTAGCAGTATTAATAGTAGTCGTAGTAGTCGTAGTTTGGTTGCCGAAAACTCTACTAACGTAACGTTAACTACTTGGAACTTCCCTATGAGCTACTATTAATACTAGTGAGTTGCGTAAAAAATCGCAGAAAAAGAAATAAAGTAGGAAATCGTACAAATAGTAGTAGTCGTAGTAGTAGCAGTATTAATAGTATTAGTAGTCGCACTGTAATAGTAGTAGTAGTAGTAGTAGTAGTCGTAGTAGTAGCAGTAGTAATAGTAGTCGTACAAGTAGTAGTAGTACTAGTAGTAGTATCAAACTTACCGCGATGGAAATCGTCGACGCCACCAATTGAATCGTGTCGTTAAACATGAGCGTGGCCCAGAACGACCCTGCTTCTACCTACTACCACGATCCAATATGGTCAAATAAATATATAACAAGGTGGTTATCGTGAATATATGTATATATATATATCGAGTCGTTCGATAATAGACTCTTTTACTTGACCTCGATCGAAGTGTTGTTGGCAGGGGACAGTTGCACCGAGCTCGCAAACACCATCGCGTGGTTGGCCACATGCACATGCAGCATCCACGGCTCGATCATGAGTTCCCGCCGAGATGTGCGGTAGAACAGCGGGGTGCCCGCCATCTGCCCCGCCGGCGGCGTGTGGCGGCGGCGCCCCAAGATCCATATCGAGCCCTCCAACGACCCGCCAGTAGATCGAACCACTTCCAAGAACGTGCCGGCGCCGCCTTCCTGGCACCCCAGGGACGGCATGTCCTCCGCCGCGTGGGTGCCGCCATGCACGTGGACACGCACGGCGCCTCGATGTCCCTTTTCGTACTCGAGCACCACCCGCCCCCCGCCGCCACCGCCGCCACCCCCATCCGACGAGTCTGGATCAGGGGCCGTCGCGTTGCCTCCGCAAGCTTCGACATGTCCAGATCCGACTAGAACGGCCGCCGACAGGCGAATGGTGCCTCCTGTGGGCACACCATCGTGCTTAGAATGTGTGACAATGAGGATGGAGAGGGGGGAGGGGTAGTTGTTATTACCTGAGCCAGACCGGCTGGCGGTGGACACCGAGTCAAAGCCGCCGTTGGCCAACACCAGTCCGTCGAGTTGCAACGTGTGTGATGCGTTCAGCTGGACAAACCCGGCACCTCGGGTCAAGTCGGTGCCACCGCCGCTGCCGTAGCCGCGAAAGTCCCCGACGCTGCCCTTGAGATCACCGATGGGCTGCATGTACATAGTGCTCTCGACATCGACATCAGCGCACTTGGATGGAAGGAGCATGTCGGTGCTTGAGAGAGCACCGCCGCCCGTGCCGCCGTATGCGCTGCCAACGGTCACGGCGCTGTTGAAGCCTGGACCAAACTTGAGACCTTGTGCCGTCGTGTTGATGCAGCTAGATGTGTCGATGGAGATGTTTTGGCTGTAGATATAGACTGCTGATGACACGATTGACGCATTGTGCATGCTGAACTGTGTGGTCGCGGCGCCGTCGAGATGGATGTCGAGCTCGATGTGGTACGACGACGTGGACACATGCATGGATTCGAGGGTGTCGATGTCTGCGAACAAGGATGTCGCGTCCAGCGTTGTGTTGACGACCAAGACAGACTCGGATGCGTTCAAGAAGACGCATTTCTGATAGAATTCATTGTACGAACCGATCCATCGCGCAGGGCCACACTGTCGAGAATGAGTCGTTGCATGTAAGATGCTCGGGGATGGTACCTACATGGAATGCGCGCTGAATGTCTTCCTTGGATGTCGACGGGTCAATGACAAAGCCATGGGGAACGCCAAGCAGGCAACTCCACAGGCCGACGGCAAGTGCATGTCCAATGTGCATGTCCGATCTTCCAAGGTACATTTACGAAGAGAAATGGCATTTCGCTGGATACTTTATCGAATGGGCAGTTTTAAACGGCCCGAAACTGTTTTAAACAGTCTGCCATTCTGGGGTGATTCACTTCGTTGAGTAGCGTCGGTATCTTAGGTCCACCTCCGCCATCCCTGCACCATGTCGACAGTCCAAGTGCCGCCCACGCGCATGTATGTATGGCCTCTATGAATGTGATGCACATCCATTGGTTGACATGCGCTTGGCTCAGGAACCTGACGACGTACAAGGCGAAGCGCGTCGCGGCGAAAAAAGGTACCCTCGATCTCAGCTCCTTCATGTGTTGTCTGCCTGCGTCCCAGTCATTGATGCGTTCTTCAGGGTTTGAGCTGTTGAAGAAGAAAGCCGATGCTTTGAAGATGCGCTTCCAGCTAATGCTGCGCGAGATTCAAAAGACCAAGATGGCCATGTCCCAAGAAGCGTCGGACGCGTTCTTTTCGCTATCCCAAGCGCAATATGCGGCAGGGGACTTCCGACACAAAGTCGTTGAGAGCGTGACGACGGCCGAGATCCGCCTGGAGAACCGCATCGACAACGTGGCGGGGGTGAAGCTGCCCGTGTTCACCGAAGTCGAAACGAGCCGCGACAAGGCCGAGAACATTGGGCTCACGGGCGGCGGGGGCAAGATCCAGAACTGCCGCGAAAAGTTCCGCGTGCTGCTCAAGGCGCTGGTCAAGCTCGCGTCGCTGCAGACGTCGTTCGTGACGCTGGACGAGGCGCTCAAGGTCACGAACCGCCGCGTGAACGCGCTGGATAACGTCACGATTCCCCGGATCGACAAGGTCATCGACTACATTGTGCGAGAGTTGGACGAACTTGAGCGCGAAGACTTTGTGCGGTACGTGGTCTCGATGTGAAGCTTGGAATCATCGTCAAGGGTGGTGGGGGTTGTATGTATGTAGAATCAAGAAGGTGCAAGCCAACAAGATCGAGTTTGCCAAGGAAGAAGCGGCCAAGCTGGAGGCGCTCGTGGCGTCGGGGGCCGCCGTGCCCGCAGCAAAGCATGTGTTGCCGTCCGACGAAGACATCATGGCGGCGTTCGAACCCGCGGCAGATGCCGACGTTGTGTTTTAGATACACGGACGACAACCAACCATCTAGTATGACAACATATCTCCGTCGTTGTGTGGGCCGATTTTCGTGTCATCAAAAAGGCATACTACTACGACTACTACTATTAATAGTATCTATTAGCACGGACTACGACTATTAGTATTACTACCCAACTGCAACTTCCATGTCGACGGGTTGCACCCATGAACGAATGAACGATAGATAGCACGACCACACGAGATATAATTGTACTTTTGATATGACATAATGTATTGCAATTTAATAAATATCAGGATCAGACGTGTATTTATATTCAAAATGATATAAATTCGACAGAGCACAGAATGACATGGCATACATACCATGCCAAGCTCCAGAGTACCATCTGTGAGCCAGGTGCGAAGGTGATGGAGGGTCGCTGGGAAGCTCATGATTCAAATGGCTTTGCTTGTACAACATGGGAGAAGGGATCATGAAGAGCCCTGAAGGTTTCGCCTGGATATGGGGCATCGCCCTCGTGTGGTTCATCGGTTACAGACAAGATGGTGCATTTGCACTATCAGGAACTACTTACTACTTCTATTACTAACTACAGGACTGCAAAAACTTCCATGTTGACGCTACAAATCACACATACTAACGACCTCCTACGACTAGTATTACTACAGTGTACTGCTTTCACGTCCTTTTGGGGACGAACGAGCGAACGATTGCACGAACGAGTGACCAAGCCTTACATACAAGTGGGTTATAAGTTACTTGTCCTCGTGGACGAGTCTTTCGCGTCGGATCGCAGGGGTTGCAGGCCGCCGTGGTACGAAGGTTGGTGGTGGGGACTCGACTTTCGCATACTACTAGTACACACGGGAGGGGGGGAGTCCGAGTCGCTGTCGTTGCCGCCGTCGCCGTCGTCGCCTCCAAACGCCAAGTTTGGCAGGTGCTTGGACTCTTTCTGGTACTTGGGCAGCACCGTCACGGACTTGACCATCTTGGCGTCGGGGGGGTCTTTGGGCGTTCGCTTGTGGGAGGTGGAACTGGTGGTTTTGCTGTCAGCTTTGTGCAGGGACGACGTGGACTTTTTCCGTCGACCGGACATGGCGGCCGACTCGGACGGCGGCGGCGTCGACGAAGATAACGAGACGACCTTGGAAGCGGCCGCGATGGCGGAAGGGGTCGCCGACGCTGGACTAGGGCACGGCGCGACGGATTTCGCAAATGATGATTTGGAGCTGGGCTTTGGAATGGATGGTTGGGACGGCTTGTCCTCTGCGGGCGGGGGCGCTCGAGGGGGCTTTGAGCCCTTGGCCGACGACTTTTTACGGCTACTAGTGTTCGAGTATTCTTTGGGCATGGCCAAGTCTGCGTAGTCGGCTTCGTGGCCGTCGTGGTGCCCACTTCCGTATTCAACATTGCGCACCGCGCCTCGCGCTTCCTTGCCCGCCCCCTCGTCCGACACGCCGCCATTCGGGTGCTGCTTGTCTTTGGTCGCTTTCTGATTCTCCCGTTTCTTTTTACTTGGATCTTTCTTGGACCGGGAAGTTGACGATGTGGTGGTTGGTTCGGTGGCGTTTTGGAGCTGAGGGGGGCTGTCTTTTCGGGCCTTTGGCGGCTTGTCCAGCAGCAGCAGGGACGACGACGACGACGATGTGGTGGTGGTGGCGGACGAATCGTCGAACGAAGCCAGCGTGGTCGTCGTTGTTGTGTGGTGGTCGGGGGGCTCCTTGGTCGATGGTTTGGTCATCACTGGACTCGGCTGGTTGTTCCACTTGAGCTCGTCCATTTCGTTTTCGAGCCCTTCAAAGTACGGGTGGTGGACACACTCGACGGACGTCATGCGCTCGTCCGGACCGAGTTGGATCGTGCCCTTGAGGAACCCAAGTGCGCGTTTGGGGATTTTGCCGACAAACCGCTTTTGCAGCGTCTCGGGGCGTGTCATGTCGGGGAACTTGAGGCCCGCGAACCTCGGGTTGGACAGAAACAGGTCCATGTGGTCGGGGGTGAGCGGCCCCAGCATCTTTTGAATCATGTACAGCTGGTCGATCTCACTTTCGCCAGGAAACAGCGGCTGCCCATCCAGCAATTCGCCCATGATGCACCCGATGGCCCAAATGTCGACGCTCTTGCCGTATTTGGTGCTCCCGAGGAGGAGTTCAGGGGACCGATACCACCGCGTGGCCACGTAATCTGTGAGCTCTTGGGACTGACTCTCAGCAATTAGCCGCGCAAACCCAAAGTCGCACAGACGAAGCGAATGGTCCGAGTTTGGGTTCACGAGGAGGTTTTCCGGCTTGATATCGCGATGGACGACGCCATTCTCATGGCAGTAGTGGATCGCCCGGCTCAATTGGTAAATGTACCGACGTACAAGCTCGGGGTCGAGGCCCGTGGGTTTCTCCTCTAGGACTTCGAGCAGATTCCGCTCGACGTACTCGAAGACGAGGTAGAGCTTGCCTTTTCGTCGGAACGCCTCCTTCAAGTTGACAATGTTCTCTTGCTTGAGCATCTTGAGCAGCTTCACCTCGCGCAGCGTCGTCTTGCGCACGATCTCGTCGTCCTCGCTCTCTTTGAACTTTTTGATTGCGACGACCTCGCCATTCTCTTTGTTGCGGCATTTCAGCACCACACCGTACGCTCCTTCGCCCACAATCCCAAGCACTTCGTACTTGTTCATCGAAGAGCATGCACAAGAAGTGGAGTTGAGGGACTGACCGATGATGGAATTCGAGTTGGTTTCGCGCCTCTTCGTCGATAAAGGTGTGTCGGTTACAGTAGTCCGTCTGGATTGGCTACATTTTACCCAATCATGGTGGTTCATTGACACTTCGTATGTTGGACGTTCATTGACGAACATCCGGATAAAACGTTCGACGCGTTCCCAGTAAGGATACAACGGTGAAGATAATACGTAGAGGCCGTGGTGCATCCGGATACCTAGTCAGAGAAGAATTTGCAAGGATTTGCACATAAACCTTTGAAACTTGATATGCAAATAGTAGGCGGAATTCTATTGCTGAGGGGCAAGCGCCTGTGAAACTTGATCTCGCCCTTCCCACGACCTCATTTGCCCTCACACGCAAAGACAGTCGAAAGCGCGCAAGTCGAACATGGGGGCCCTACTGCAGCGAATGCTCCAGGCGTTCTACACGAAGAAGCTCGAAGTGGTCCTGGTCGGACTTGAGAACAGGTAAGAGCGAAGATGCATGTTGCCGGGACAAACCGACGATGAAGCGCGAGGAGTGGGGACCGTATTCTGATGTTGTCGTTGTTGATACGTAGTGGGAAGACCACGCTGTTAAACGTCATGGCGATGGGACACCCCGTGGAAACATGTCCGACTATCGGCCTGAACGTGAAGCTCGTGAAGAAAGGAGGCGTTCAGATGAAATGTTGGGACATTGGTGGGCAGGCGCAATACCGCAGTGAATGGGGTCGCTACACTCGTGGATGTGATGTCATTATTTACGTCGTTGACGCCAACGCGGTATGAAGTAAAGACCAAGTGTGAGTTGTCGTCGTCTGACTTGTGTATGCTTAGTTTGACCAAATCTCGTTGGCGCGAAAGGAACTTCACCGCCTCTTGGAAGACAGGTAAAATGAATGCTGTTTCGTGACCTGTAAAGAAAGGATTCTAACGGACGTATGGTTTTGGTAGGGAATTGGCCACCACGCCGCTCCTTGTGTTGGCCAACAAGATTGACTTGGAACCGCACATTTCGGAACCGGAATTGATCCGCGAACTCAACTTGGACTACATTGTAGACAACCCGTGGCTCGTCATTCCGATTTCGGCCCTCCGCCTCGTGAACATTGACCAAGTGATTCAATGGCTCATGAAGCAGTCTGGAAAGAATTAAGATTAGCCTATTAACATCGAATTGACAACACGAATGTTGTGTCCGCCGAGCTGTCGTGTTTTGATTGGCTGAAAGGTCTAACTCCGACGTTTCATTGGCTATAATTCAAACTCCGACGTTTCATTGGCTATAATTCAAACATTTCAAACCCAAATCTTTCCACAGTTCAACCGGCGCGTACTTCCAAACAGCACACGCGATCATGGACGAGTTCTTCATGCGGCATGATGTGTACAAAGATCGCGATGCTGACGAGCTTGGCGGCAAGGTGCATTCCGACTCGGAAGCTAGGTTCGGCTCGTTATTGCATGGCAGGGGATGCAAGCTCACTGATGATTCCATTTTACAGCGACGACGAAGAGTCGCTCCCTGCGTCTGCACACGATCCTTTCGGGCCTTGGCAAGAGCAACAGGATGTGTCCAAGCAAGGGAAACGCAGGCAGTTCAAAAAGTCGTCGTTCACAGGTCCCAAGGGCGTTCTCACCGACTACAAAGCGTACAAGAAAGCCAAGGCCGCGGAACGCACGCAGGACGCCGCGGTGCGGGAGGCGGTGCTGAACCGCATTGCCAAGGGATACGTGGTACCTGCTGCCGCTCCTGCTTCTACCAGTGAATCGTCATCATGTTGCAACAACGTACACGACAGCGACGACGACTTGCTCGACGAGTTCGAATCCGACGCCTTCCTCCAAACGTACTGCGCGAAACGCGTGACCGAAATCCAATCCGCCGTGACCCTTGGGTGCGACCTCCTCCTCCTCTTCATCTCTCCTTTCCATACTCGTGGAAGTTGATCGTGTCATGCACTCGGTACGTTGTAGCGGGCCCACGTTTGGCGCACTAACGTACTGCTCGGCGTTTGATTTCGTCGACATTGTGGACGCCGCCGACCATCGTACTCGTGTGGTGGTGCACATGTCCGACGAGGTACATAAGCGCAAGAAGAATGCATCCCCCATGTCCCTGTTATGTGACGGTCACGTGTACAGCAAAATTACTTGTGCGTGGCCGTAAACAACTGCTTGCACAAGCTAAGCCCCGAGCACCCTCGAACCCAGGTACATGATTAATCCCTATTCCCCAACACATACTTGGTGCATGGCAACAACTTGCGATGTAGTTCCTCGTGGTCCAGCGGCACGACGCCGACGCCACCATCCGGCTGGACGAGGTGCCGCTCTTTCTCGTGTACCAAGGCGGCGTCCAGGTCGACACGATCTTGAACGTCGCTGCCAAAGTCAACCACCAAGTCACCGTCGACCGGTTGGCGCTCGTGCTGCACAAGTACCTTTGAAACTAGCTTATTTGAATAACTACTATGAACTAGAATGTACTAAATAGTATACTACTAGTATGTACTACTAGTCCAGGGAACCCTCAACGAAACTCGCGGTCGGGAACGAGATACGGCGCCACGAGGGTCCACATGTAGACGGCAATACTCACCCATTGCGACGTGATGTGCACCCACATCGCCGCGCCATCCGCGTGCCTACAGACACACCCCCATGTTGATAGTGGATAGGACGAGATTGCAGCTGCATGATGATGTTGATATGGACAGACAGAGAGAGGTCGTACCCCGACGCCGTGTCCCACTGCGAGAGCACCATGGCCATGTACATGGCTCCCACGACCATGATCAAGTGAAACTGCCAGCTAGGCACGTCCGAGCCATCCGATGCGTTTTGCTTTCCCTATTGTACATGCCCCATTGAGCTCTAGAAGCCAGCAAGCATGCGATGTGATGGGCAGTACAGCTTCGACGACGACATGATCGTCCTTGTCGTCAACGTCCATGCGGATCAATGACGATGCCGTGGACCAGCTACATGCATGCATGGGAGGTTGGATTACGCAAGGATAGAACACAACAAGTCGGATATGTACCTCGTCCATGTGATGGTGGCGGCGCCGATGAGCGAGGCGACAACAGTGTTGGCCGTGGACGTGGCTTGATATGTTAGAAACGGATTGCACTAAGAGGTAGATATATCAACATGATGAGTGATATCTAGACTGTGGAGAGGTATGGCAGACAGACAGACCGCAGCATTGGGGTTGGCGCTCACGGATTCGTAGCACAAGAATGCAATGTACAGCGACAGGATCGACGGCGGTAGCAGCCCCGGTCCATCCTCGACGGTCACTACCGTAGTTGTGGTTGATCTGATCCAGGAAATATATATATATATATAATTATCCCATTCCATATTAAGACATCAAGTATCGAATTCGACGATTGAAGTTGATAATAGAATAGTTGTTCCTGTTAATACACATATTCGTCTTATTATAACTGCTACAGATGTTTAAGACCCCGTGAACCTTTACTACATCTTTACATTGTTATTTTATAAAATATGTGTAGAATAAGTGGTAATCTTAGACCTTAAGTATGCAAAAGTACGACAAATACATAGGACTACAGTAGTGTAGTGCAAGATCAAGCTGTGAAAAGCATGCCAACTTGAGTGGAATGGGGACTAGTACTAGTAGACGGAAAGAGGCGGCAACCCCCACGTACCGCTGAGGCCAGTCACTACAACGATGGCCGCCAATGTGATTGTGGTGAACACGTGGCCAACTTGGCAGACGGCATAATAGTAATACTAGCGAGGCATCCACATGGGTAGGGGGTAGGTACTAAGCACAATGAGATTGTATACCAAAAGGCCAACGCCAGCCAGCGCGCCGCCTAGGGCCAGCGCAACCAGGCCAAAGAAGGCGCTTTTCCTGTGGACAAGGACATGCGACAATGTACAGACCTGGGATACAGTCACGAGGATGAAGAAGGAAGTAGTACCAGAACCACGTGGGGAAGCGAGAAGAGGATGGCGCGGACGACGATAGGAGCGACACGCGCTCGTCCGCGTCGGACATGTCGATCTTGTCGACCAAGTAGTCGCGTACGTTGTCTACGAATATGGACGTCACATGAAGAAGAAGTCGCGGAAATATGTACATGTTGTGTCGACGATGATGATGATTTGAAGCACGAGGAACAACACGGACATGACGCGGGCCACCCACGCGTAGCCGTAGAAGAAATCTACGCATTACAATGTAGGTATGTCACGAGACTAGAAGAAAGGAACCGTTGGAAATGGCGTAGGCCCCGACAAACAAGGCGCCGTAGAGAGGGAGCTGAAAGCACCAGAGGCAGCAGCAGTTGTTGAACCCTCGGTCCGACAGCGCGCTCACGATCGCCATGAGGAGGAAGAAGCAGCTCATGGAGAAACTGGCGCTGCAAGCAAAATGTCACAGTATGTTGAGGCGATACGAAGTGTACCGATACACCGCTTGGTTCCCCACGCAGTGGGGATTCGCGGCTTCGTCCGTGCACGTTTCAAACGACCACAGGTACTTCAAGAAGCCTGACACAGATGGACGCTTTCACCGTAGAGTCCCCATGTACATGCAGCTATCTGTCGTACCATCACCAAATGCTCGGAGGGCTGTGGCCACGATGGCATTTACGAAGAAGAGGACCGTGTACGCCAAGCGAGTCATCGAAGCCGCGCAACAAGATCAGTAAGCTTATGGAGGCAGAAAAGACTGTATTAGAATGTGGGTCGTACGATGTATGTAAATTTTGAAATTTTACCCAATCCGTTGGTAGAATTGAACTTAGCCTGATATCATTGGCTGAAATCCATAACCCACGGCTATTGGTTTCCAACAGCAACATGAGCAAGCGCCGCCGCGAGAATGAGGCGGCCGTGCCAATCGCCAAGCGCATGCAGCAATCCGCCGACCTTCCTTTCGTAGTTGCCAAACCTGCCAACGACGATATTGAAGACCAGATCAAGGCGCTCGAGGCGCAGCTGGATTCGTCTTCGAGCGACGAGAGCGATGACAACGACGACGACACGACACCGACATCCAACGACGATGCACATATTGTCAACTTGTCCGCGTACCAACACGACATCGTGCCGGCGTTGCCATCCGCGCAGCTGCCGAAAGCACACTCGTTTCAGGCCAACGCCAGTCGCTCGGCCAAGTCGACGCCGCCATCCGTGCCCAAACAGAAAATCGTCGGCAAAGTTCCATTTGCGTGCAAGCCATGTGGGTTTGTAGGCAAGGACCTGGCCGACTTCCAGGCGCATAAGGCGTCCGGCGCGCACAACGACGTGGTGGGAACGACCGCCCAGCGCCTGAGCTGCCAGTTGTGCGCCAAGGACTTTACAAGCGCGGACCAGTTGGCCGAACACAAGCTGGGCAAGTGGCATCTCATGCGGAAGCGCACGAAGAAGGAGCACTTCCACGACGCCGTCCGCGTCTGCTACGACTTTATGCGGGGCAACTGCTTCCGCGGCGACGCGTGCTCGTTTGGCCACGCCGCGACCAACGCCAAGCACCAGACGATCCAGAAACCTACGCGACATTGCACCCAGTTCGTGGCCGGCACTTGTAAATTCGGCGACCAGTGCATCTTCATCCACCAATCCAGTTAAAATAAACCACCACCCACCCACCCCCTTGATCTTCTCATGGCAGACTCTGGTTTGCTGTGTCCGAGCGGCTATGGTACATATAGTGCACTGTCCAGTACCGTGAGATTGGACTTCACGTACAGGCTAAAGGTGGCCTGTTGAACGCGATGTCATTCGTACTATTGTGTCATGTAGTAGTACTGTATTACTAGTGTTGACTGTACAACAGTACATACTCGGAGTACTGTGTAGTACTCGAGTATGTAGTATGTGCCTACAGTGTATACCCATGGTGTATAACCTTATGGATCCCCAAGAAAATGTCAGGAAAATCTATATGCAACTTATATGTCAATTAGTGCTCTTTCGAAAGTTTGATTGGCTAGAATAAAATATTTAAAGAAATTTGACGTTTACTTCAAAGTATATGGCGACTTTTGGGTACAACAGCGTCACCATATCGTAATTTGGGTACAACTCGATAAGGCAAAATCAATACGGTAGTACCAATAATAGTACTAGTACCGATATACTGTAGTACTACTAGTACACGAATAATAGGTGTATCTAGTGTGTCATGAAGAAACAACGACCCCGCACTGCATGAGCGCATCACCTTGGTCCCGCACATGCAGCAACCGCGCCACTTGCGCGTCCACGGTCGTGAGCATGTCGTCCAACCCTGGCAAGTCCACAGCTACGCTCGTCTGCTTGACGATCTCCACCACTTGCCCCCGGAACACCCTGTCACAAGTTTGTATGACGTTATCAACTGCACTTTGCACTAGATCTTACGTGACTTGGCCTGCAAACTCCTTTTTGCCGTCTCCAGACAAGAAATTGTCGGTCGGTTTCGACGACGGCGCAACGATGAACGCTTCAACCACCTGTCCATCACATCACCAGGTGCATGAACTCCACATGACCATCGCATCGTGTACCAGTCGCGCTTGGTGCACAGACATATCGATGAGCATATCGCTTGGCAAGGCCGGCACAAAGTGCTACGTCGTAACATGGAACGACTTGATGCAGGTCGAGGCTTACGTGGTCGAGTTGACTGCAGTATGGAAATCGCCGAGTGCTGGGAAGGCGAACGGCGTTGCCGCCCGTGCGCAGATCGCGGCACATACTGCCAAGTTCCTATTGACACCCATGCGTCCAGTGCGATGCATAAAGATGAAGGAGCGTGTGAAGTGGACGGGAACTCACCGTGACGACTTGAGCGACCAACGACGACGTGTGCTGCAGCAACCTGCCGTCGCCCGCGTCTTGGATGGAGGATACCTGCTTCTCCAGCAGACGCACGATGTTCTCCATGCGGCGGTACTGGAGTTGCAGTGCACGGTGGAATTCCAGCAGTTGGTCCAACACGCAGGCTTGGTGCAACCTGGCATTCGACATGATGCGAGATGTTCATCCAGATGGTGTAGTTACTTGGAGTTGACAAGGTACCCTCGCCGCAAGTTGACTTCAATGTCTGCTTCTGTCACGAGATGACCCTAAACATGTGCATGTTGGCTTTAGAGCAATCCAACACGCAGCAGTGCCATACGTCGATCTTGACTTTGGCCTTCATGGACTTGCCCGTGGCCTCCTCCTGGGTTTCCATCCTCGACCAGCGTCTCTCCGCATCCTCCAGCTGGCTCTGTGTCGTCCGGAGTTGTGAAATGACATCGTTCGTGAGGAATTGCACCATCTCGCGGCTAAGCTCTGCTTCTTCCTCGGCGATACCCATCCTCGTTGCAATACGACACATATATCCACCATATTTTGACATCTGATTGGACATAGTTTAAGATATATGTCCAATCAAACGTACCCTTCATGTAAGTAAAGGAAACGGTTTCGCAAAACATGATGGCACCGCCGCCTTTCGACGCCCGTGGCACAACAGAAGGAGACGCGACGGAGTGCCACATATGCCACAGTCCATGTCGAATGATCGCGAAGTTTTGTCCGCACTGCGGAGCCAAGATGTCCAGCATTTTCCTCGCAGCAAAACGTAAGCTCCCTGCTCTAGGTTGCTTCACCAAACGCCAGCCAGTGCCCATGCCAGCGCCACAGTCGGTCTTGCTGGACAAAACACCTCCAAGAAAGCCAACTGTACGAACCCTGAAGCGCCGCATACCGGTGAAAGCCATGCCTCCTGGCTCGAACCAACAACTTCACATGAACGGTCCAACGCCTTCGAAGGCGGCGATGGCATACCAAGCGCTAGTTTCATCGGCAGTTCCTGCTGCCGCTACCTCTCTTCCACGCCTTCATCACCCATCACCAGTTGTGCCGTCGACGCTTCCCCATGACGTAGATGCTCGGCTACAAGCGTGGATCAATCGGCTGCAAAATCTGCATGCTGCTGTGATTGTACGAGCACATACTTTGGCAATGGTAGCAACAACAGTGCCTTACAACGTGTAGGTGTATAAACCGTCGACGCCGCATCCGTCGCAGGTAAATAAACGTGGTTATGCACATGCTGGAAGGCCATTTTCCCTATGAACCACTCGCCATAGAAAATGCTCACAGCCACTGCGAAAGCCAAGCTAGTTCGTCAATTCGCAACCTTAAAGGACGACTGGGTCGCCCTGGACTTGGACATGTTCGTGCGCACGTTGACCGTCCCGACGTCATGATGTTGATCATGGTTGGATGTGTTAGGCACTCCACGGTCGCCACTCGGAGTCTGGCGCTGTGGACCCGCTCCAGCAGCATCCTCGCAGACATTCCGTCACAGCCGCCTGCTGCGACCGTCGACGACGCCCAAGTGTCGATCAAAGTGGAAGGTTCGGTCATGTATTTCAAAAGCAGGCGGTCGCCGGCCCCCGCCGTCGAAAATGGCGACGCAGGCAGATCGTCTCCTCTACATGTACCCCCCAAGGCAGCTTTTGAGCCCGGTCGTCCGTCCACGGCATTGGAACCACCACTTTTCCATGCAACGACCCCACAGTTGAGCCCACGATTGTCTGTAACGAAATGCCGCCATTTCCTGCACTCGAGGCCCTCGCACTTGTTTACACAAGTGTACTTTGTCCATGGCGCACCTGGACCGACCATCGTCTCTGTGGACGGGGGAAACGAAGGCGACCTCCTCACCTTTCGAGCGTATTGCCCCCGCACCTGCCAAGCCAGCCTCGTCCAAGTAGCCACCTCCGTCATCTTGCAAATGATTCCCCAACTCCACGCCCCACTGTACTTTCGACACCAGGTAAAGTATGACGTGATCGTCACGACGTCTCATGCGACAACGTAGCTACCTCCAAACTGCCGGTACGCGCTGAGTCACTGGGTGTCGTGGTGCAGTCCCGTCCTTCGTTGTCTTCGCTGGAAGGTTCGTCCCTCTATCATCTCAACAACTGAACGACACTATCCTATGTAGGACCATGCATTGACACTGCGGTACCCGTGTGTGTTTCGCAGCAGCAACGTGCTACAGTACAAAGGCGTGTGCTTCTTTCGATGTTTGCTTCAAGTGCATGTAATGTGACTTGTCCTTTTTCTTTGAAACTTGTCATTGCCGTTTTCAAAATAAGGTCATGGGCGATTTCAGCATCGAGGTGTCGGCTGTGGACGTCGCAAGTGACCGCGTTTTCCACACGCATGTGACACTGTCGTTGCTGCTAGTGCATTCTCCGACGTACCTCGACCATGTTGCGGTGTGTACACTGCATCTCTTTAGCTTGATCATGTTGGAAATGAATGGTAGACACGGTGGTGTCAGTGGGGGTCGGGCCTCTTGGCGTCGCTCGTGCGCCAGCTGTGGCTCGAGTACACGACGAAGGGGTTCGAGCTGCTCGTGGCGGGCCAGACTCCCGTCGGTCGAGTCCTCCCGCACCCGCTGCTCAAGATGTCGGACGCCGACTGGCTCGTGTTTCTCCACCTCGAGCGCGAACGGCTAGCGATCGTCCGATCCGACTGCGTCCGGCTAGCCGCGTCCGTGGCCCTCCGAAAGCACACGTGTCGACAGGAGCAAGAGCAGAAGCGACGCATTGACCGCCGCCGCCACCACGTACGAACAAACACTACCTTCGTCAACCATATGCATCTTATGCCTCCATGACGAACACGAGTCTGTGATTCTGATAGGCGGCAACCACCGTCCAGCGCGTCTTTCGCGGGTATGTTGGCCGCATCAAGTTCCACCAAGTCGTGTACGACGATGCGTTGGCCCATCGCACCCTTGGCGCCATGCCCGGTACGCCCCTCACATCCCGACGCCGTTGCGATTTGGTTCGACGTGGATGGTTCCAAGATCCCAGGACGCTGATGGCCTTTGGCTTCAGCTCTTCGCACCCAGTGGCAGCTGTGCAGTGTCCCCATTGGATTGTCACTCATCACGACATGCATCGCCACGTTCTCAACGACAGCCACCGCTTAATTCGACAAGCGATTGCTGCCCAATGCATCCAATCCCACGTCCGACGGTGGCTCGCCCACCGATGGTACCGAACGCTGCACCGCGGTGTGGTGAGCTTCCAGTTCCAAGTCCGCAGTACGCTGCGCCGGCGGTATCGTCGACTTCATCGGGCGACGCACGGTCTGTCGTTTGCATTCGCGAGGCGGATTCGCCACACGTGGTTGTTGCTGCGCATCCGCCTCCGTCCGCCACATCATGACGAGATCGACTGGGTCGTGGAGCTGACAGGCCTTCATCCTGACTCTGGTGTCGCCGCCAGCCAACGGATTCCGATGGCGCGGCTGACGGCCAATGGAACGTTTGAGCGCGACGAGTGGCGAGGCATGAAGAACTATGACGTGGCGACTCGCATTGTCGACACGACAGATCTGTTTTATTCGGCACAGAGCCACCTCATGACGTTTGCGGTCGGGCCATCGAAAACCACGGCGTGGCAAGGAATCTCACGATAACGTTAAGCTCGAGAACAACAGAGGAAGCCTCGTCAGACAAGGCGACTCGATGTTGGATCTACCTACCACCGTGAGGCAGGATTGGTTGGTTAAACAACCCGTTGGTCATACCCATATGTGTTAGAACCAACACGAGCAACTCCATCACGCACGCCACATCCATCCAGTCCATCGTTGGTGGTGGTCGGCCGTCAAACCTTCGAGTCCACAGCAACCAAACTTGACGAAATCATTTCGAAAAGCGACCGATGGTGTGAGTTTGCTGTTGTCCGTCTGGGCTCATATTTAACGAGTTTTGTGCCATGATGTCTCCATTTCAGTGGTGCTATTAACGTTATAATACTACCGCACTCGTGACGAAAATTGTCGACTAGTAATGGAGTAACTATTACATGCAAGGTCACCTATCGGCTACTACAGTAGCCATGGCTAGCTAATGGGCTACCTCGTATCTACATCCGAAGAATCAAGGGTTGAGCTCAGGAGTAAGTTCACGTAATAACATTACTCAAAGCCATCTACCAACAACGTTATGAGTATGTCGACAGGTTAGCTGGGCTCCTCCGCAAGGCCAGCTACAGGCCAGGCTCGCTGAATCCAGTGCGTTAGCCAAGCCGTTGTCGCGGCAGGTGCGTGGAGTGGTCATCGAAGGTGTCCGTACGATCAGCATAATTCGAGTTTGGCTCGATTACCAGGAGTAGCGGTAAAACGGAAACGAGAATGCAACCGAAGCAATGCATAGGAATACTCGACACGTTTGGTTGATGCAGTCCTATGGCGGCTTGACATACGCCATGGCGTATCCACACAAAACGACCGCGTCGAATGATGAGTACCGTGCGAACGTGGCATCCGGGCCAAAGGATGGTCGGCACGTTGCGCCAAAATTGGCGCCGACGATCGTTGCAGTCCACGTGTGAATGCTTGCATGTTCTGATTCACATTAATGGCCAGGCCGGTTGACCTCATGACGGGAAACTCCACATTCAATTGGCAAGGGCGACGGATCGATCCAGTAAACGACGCCGCCGTGCATGGACACAGCTGTCGTTCGAAAGCAAGGAGGCCTTCAATGACTGGCAGGCCTTACTTGGTGCAATATGGGAGACCTCCACGCGTTGTCCATCAAGTCCTCGCCCTCGGTGGCCACCACGCTGGAAGGGATCGATGGGATCATGTCGAACGAGAATATGAACGGCCTGATTCACATGCATGCGACGTGACAGGTGGCATGGGGATACTGTACGAGCTCGAACATGGCGGCATAGACACACACCCCGTCACGGACATAATGACGTGGCCTTCCGTCGTTGCTTGTTGGGAATACTCCAAGTACTTGCCGAGGGTCGCGCCGTGGAGTGCATGATGGTGAACAGAGAGACCCAAGGCTCAGCAGACGTCCAGGCATCGCTCATGTGACGAGGCGGAGAGCGGAGACCTCATGAGGCTTGCAGGGGGGAGCGTCGATATTGAAAACTGACTCGGCCATGTTGTCCTTACGACCACCAATTCCGCATCTTCGCAATGCCACGATTGCCCAACGTTCCGACGACCGAAATCCCCCCATCATCCGTCGAAGGATCCATACTACTACTATTTTCGCCGACCAGATTCAATGAAAAGTCTTCCATGGATGTGGAGTTCAGTTCCGATTATCCGGATGCTGTCGCAGATATACTTGCCACATCCACCAAAACCGATCCACCACCTTGATACTGTTCCACAAGCGCACCACTATCGTCATAAATCTCGTCCTCCTCATTCAACGCCCATACAGGCGGCTCCTTCCGTCGGCCTCGCCGGCCTGTCGGTGGTGTCGAGTGCAGGTCGTTATCCGGATCTTGTTTGCGATGTCCAGATTTCAGCCAATCACTGACGGCCCTCGTTCCAGCACACACGGAAAAAAACCACGTGGATAGTTGCCCAGTTCAACGTTTAATCGTCGTTTGACTTGATCTTTGTATGAAAATGCGAAACACGTCAAAACGATTACCAACACAATCCCGCGCTAATGGCGATGGGCGGCTAGGAATATCAGCCAATGAAATCACAGAAAAACCACCCCACTAAGTGCGACTGACAGCTCAAATCAGTGGTGGAGGCGGCCGAGGCCAGATTTGTCTGAAAGTTTGTATGCCGGCGTTTTGTGGGGTTGGTCACCGCTCACCTCACTTCGCAATTTGCCGTCGCCAGAACAACATGTTTGCTATGAAGCCCATTGCCACGGCCCCGACGCCGAAGGATGACCCTGTCAAGGGATTCTTGACCGATTTGGCTGCCGGTGGTGTTGCCGGTGGTATCTCCAAGACCGTCGTTGCCCCCATCGAACGTGTCAAGCTGTTGTTGCAAGTGCAAGCCGCCTCGACCCAAATCAAGGACCCTTACACCGGCATCATCAACTGCTTCACCCGTGTCGCGGCTGAACAAGGCCCGCTGTCGTTCTGGCGCGGTAACTTGGCTAACGTCATCCGTTACTTCCCCACCCAAGCCTTGAACTTTGCCTTCAAGGACAAGTACAAGAAGCTCTTCTTGGACGGCGTGAAGAAGGACCAATTCTGGCGATTCTTTGTCGGTAACTTGGCCTCGGGTGGAGCTGCCGGTGCCACGTCGCTCTTGTTCGTGTACCCGTTGGACTTCGCCCGTACCCGCTTGGGTGCTGATGTCGGTGTCGGCAAGGAGCGCCAATACAACGGCCTCGTTCACTGCATCCAAACCATCGCCAAGTCGGACGGTGTTAAGGGTCTGTACCGTGGTTTCGGTGTGTCTGTGGGAGGTATCATTGTGTACCGTGCTGCCTTTTTCGGTGGTTACGATACCGCGCGTGATGTGTTGATCACGGACCCCAAGAACGCTCCTTTGTGGCAAAAGTGGATCGTGGCGCAAGTCGTGACCACGTTCGCCGGTGTTTTGTCTTACCCGTTCGATACCGTCCGCCGTCGCATGATGATGCAAGCTGGCCGCAAGGATGTCTTGTACAAGTCCACTGCCCACTGCTGGTCCAAGATCGCGTCTGAGGAAGGCCCCAAGGCCTTCTTCAAGGGTGCTGCTTCCAACGTGATCCGTGGTACCGGTGGTGCCTTCGTCTTGGTCTTGTACGATGAATTCAAGGCCTTGTTGGGCTTCCAAGGCGGTCCTTCCTCGGAATAATTTATTCCCGCCTTCATAGCGACAGAGAATAAATTCAACGTAGAATGTATTGACTTCTCCCTTGTATATTTTGCGTCGTACGTTTGGGCGAAAGCGCTTTCACGACACTGACGGAGCCAACGTACTTCTCCGCCAATTCAAAGCATTATGACTTACGGAATAGACCAGTACATCCACGACAATGGTTTGACCCACAAACGTATCGCGTACATTGTCCAATAGCATATTGGAGGAATATGTCCAGGAAAGCCCGTCTACCGTATACCCCCCGCTTCAGTACCTATGAAAATGTCAGTAAAATCAGCTCCATGCGGTACCTTGAAAACTATTCAGGCATTTGCATTGGTCTAAATCCATCACAGGACTTATATTTCATTGGATGAAAATAATTAACGCATGGTGATTGGATATTTCTGTCCAATTAGAGACAACTAGGTACACGCCCAACCTGAACCATGAAAATGTTCGTCATCGGCCGATATGTTCCAAACCGGTACAGGTCCAACCGGAGAAATCATAGGTACGGAAGCGGGGGGTAGCTCAGTAATGTCCTGCGTGTACTGGGCTAGGTTGCATACCAATCCGTGGAGTATTGCATGAGGAGTATCATCTCTTCAACACCATCCAACCAAAACCGAATTTCGACCGTAATATTTTATAGAATGCAATACCACTGTGGTCCAAAATAGTTGTCATGTTAGACTTCAAAATGAAGTATTTTGTCCCAAATTTACTCGTTCTTTGATTGGATACTTTAAGCTGCGCAAAATTCACACTCTGGGCAAAGTTATCGAACTTGAAAATGGCCTTCAAATTGGCAAAATATTCAATCACCCGCCAGAGAATCAAATCTTAACTTCAAACTTCCCCATCTCGCCCACTTGTTCATGTGGTTGTTGTAATACCCTTGAAGCACTACCTAGGCTCTCTCGCTTCTATGATATTGTATTTATGATCAAACATGCTCAAAAGATATCATTCGCCATACGTGACCGTAGCAACTTCGGTAGGCGTCTGTCGACGACGAAATCGCACCTGAGGCTAAACGATGCCGCCATTCGCGGAATATACAGTAACGTTAGTGACATATCTTGTTCAAATGGCTGGAACTAGGTGTGGGCATCTAAGTTGCTTGTTGTGGTTTATGTCACTTGATATGTTTCAGTATTAATATGCTTTAATCATCTTGAGGTTTGTATAGCATATACTAAACTTGTATAAAAGTTATACTAAGTATACAAACTACTAGTCAAACAAAACTGCACTTTCGAAAATATGCAACACGACATCTATTTTGGACCAGAGTACAGTAATACTACCTCCAGCCGGATTTAAACCAGCCATAAGCGAAAACGCTGTATATTTGTCAACAATTTTTCAAATTTGGAAAATCCGAAAATATCAGTGTAAACAGTTTAATTCGACGAATCACAGTGGCTTGAATTCATAAAAATATGAGCAATTTTGTGTTGGGCAATATAATTTCAAAATATCATACTCAAATCAAGATAGAATTGTACGGATAAAACTAATTATATCCGAAAAAGCAGAATGATGATCAATATTGAGCGGCAATTCGTTTGTGATTCGCGCGGTTTCCATGAATGACCTCACATCGGACCAGCGCCGCGCAGTGGTGGACCACCTCCTCTTGCGCGTTGTCCAAAAGCCATGCAAACTTCAACGCGGTGCCATAAAAGACGTGGCCCGCATCTTTGGCCGCAATCGCCACACGATCTAGGAGATTTGGAGGCGTGCAAACGTATCACTTGGCGGCGACCTACCCATGCGTGAAATCGTATGCGAGGACATCTCAAGCCAAAAGTAGGGCAGGGTCGGTCGAAAGCAAAAGTATACCGATCTACCCGCACGTATCCGAGCCGTTCCTGCTGCTCAACGTACTACATTAAGGTACGTAGCTCATGCCATTGGTATCCCTCCAAGCACGTTGAAGGACTACTATAAACGTGGACTCTTGGTGAAGTACTTGGACAGCGTCATGCGTGAATTGTCGCGGCAAACTGCCAATGACTTGGAAATGAGTGAGATCTTCACTGCATTGGAATCGCTTGACAGTGAGATCAGTTGCGAGGATGACGAAGGAGTGTAGGTTTTGCATAAAAAATTAATTCTATATGAGTTTCATTATGACCTGTCACTATTTTAATTTAAAAACTGTTTTTAATATTATACCACTATTTGTATTGAATTGTATAATTATTTAATATATTATGGGGGTCTCTCGTGTGGCGGGTTTATTTCCGACTTTTACAAAATTCGAAATGGCAGGTTTAACTGTAAATCCGGTTGGAGGTAGTAACTTGTTCTGGGGTTGGACTGACAGTGAAGTGGTACAGTATTTCGAATATGAACAGGCAAACGGATACTATGATTGGCTTATTTGAACCAATCAAATATTCTTATTGTGAGAAATGACTGAGAATAGTACTGTATGTCGACAATTTTGCAATCATTTCAGCAAAATTGGAGAAGTATTGAGGAAGTTACGAATTTTCTGAAGCGTTTTCGCCCAAACGTACAGTAAAGTTTAATTGTGACAATCGAGCTTGGTTATTCTGAAAACCTGCGAAGATCACGAAATTGTTCGTTTTGATTGGGTAGTAAACCTGAGACACAGTTTCACATTTTCAAAAAGTTTTCTTGCAAACACTTGTCCAAAGCAAAGGAAGGAAGCATGCCGCCGTCGACACCCACCGCGTCAAGGCGCCTACAGTTCTTTCTCGGCACTCTCATTGGCATTTCGTTGGTTGTGTACGTGGAAATCTCGTTTGCCCCCCGATCCATCGACTTGACAACGTCCTTTCGGCACATACCGACGTGGGTCCATGGCCCACCTCCTCCATGGAGCCGCACCGACAAGTTCATTCCGGACCCTCATGTGGGCCTCGATGCAGGTCAAATCGCACGACAGGATGCTGTAAAACGCGCCATGCAGCATGCTTGGTCAGGGTACGAGTCACGTGCGTTCGGCGCGGACGAAGTGGCACCCGTGTCCGGACAGAGGCGGCATAACGTCTGGGGCGGCATTGGCGTGACCCTCGTGGACTCGCTGGACACACTTTATATCATGGGCATGCGTGTACGTTCGTTCTTTCGTTCGTTCCTCACCTTGATCTAACGTCGCATCGATTGCGACGGCCTAGGACGAGTTCCATCGAGCGAGGAACTGGGTGGCGAACCACATGAACTTTACGCACTTGGGCGCCGACGGCACAAAGATCAGCGTGTTTGAGATCGTGATTCGACAGCTTGGGGGGCTCCTGAGCGCGTACGATCTGTCCCGAGACGCCATGTTCAAGCAGCGGGCGGTGGAACTCGCGGACCGGCTGCTTCCTGCGTTTAAGCACGGCGTATTTTACACCCATTTCAACGTGTTTACCAATGAAACGTACCTCCCATTGCATATGTGGACGAATAGGCACGTCGTCACGACTACTATTACTACTGCAATGACCACATTGCACCAACTAACTACTACAACTATAACCACATTGCACTAACCAGCCACCTTCCAACTACTTAGGGGTCTCTTGGCCGATTTCGGCACGCTGCAGCTGGAAATGCGCTACCTCAGTGACATCACGGACAACGCCCTGTACAGGGAAATGGTACTCTATACTAGTGTTCATACATGACACTGGTGGTCCATATTCAACTGACTTCGACCAGGGTGACGCCTTCTACACGGCGGTGCGGCGCGAAGGCTCGTTCGAGAACACGGGTTTATTCCCCGTGGAATACGAACCAGAAACCGGCCACTTTGCCACGGAAGATACCATAATCACAATCGGCGCGCGGGGTGACTCGTTCTACGAGTACTTGCTCAAGGTGTGGCTGTACAGTGGGAAACGAACAGACGACCTCTTCCTGCGACAGCTGTACGACGACGCGGTCGCGGGCATGGAGACGCACCTGCTCGTGTATTCAACGATAGACGACGTGTACTACCTCAAGGAGCTGCAACTTCCCGAGATGTATGTACGTATACAAGCGCCGTTTCTCTTTTCGTCGTCGTAATCGAGAACGATCTATACTATCTGGTCATGTGTGTGTAGAGCAAACCCCGCCAAGACCATTTGCTCTGCTTTGTGCCAGGGATGCTCGCTTTGGGCACCGTCGGCGAGTCGAATGCGACTAAAGTGACAAAACACTTGGCCCTGGCCAAGAAACTCATGCACACGTGCGTGTCGTACTACACGCGACAGCCCACGGGCCTCGCGCCCGACCTCGTGGGGTTTCCCGGGTTTGACGTGCTAAACTCCGTCTACATCCTACGCCCCGAGACGGTTGAGAGTCTCATGTACATGTACCGTATCACAAACGATCCAATCTACCGGGAATGGGGGTGGACGATCTTTGAAGCGATTGAGAAGCACGCCAAGACCACGTTCGGGTATGGCGCCGTGTGGAATGTGCACAACCTCACGGACGCGTTCATTGAAGACAAGATGGAGAGCTTCTTCCTTGCCGAGACACTCAAGTACCACTACTTGCTCCAGAGCGCGCCGTCGTTCGTGCCGTTGGATCAGTATGTGTTCAACACGGAAGCACATCCGTTGAGGATGAACCGGCAAGATTGAGTCCATACTCTAATTTGAGCTACTCGAAACGCACGAATGGCGAAAAGACATTTGAGGAATGTGAAATCTATATATATATTACATGTGTCAAATGTCCCATATGGAGGTTGCAATCGACGGAGCGTTGGTCCTTAGTCATGGCGAAAAGACATTTGAATGGTGATATATATTGATATATATACTCCGGAGTATAACGTTATATACTTCGTATATATTACATGTGTCAAATGTCCCACATCGAGGTTGGCACATATTAGGACGGCGAGTTAGTTCGTTGTTGCTGGGTTGCGGTTGATCCTCAACGGATGTGCTTCCGTGTTGAACACATACTGATCCAACGGCACAAACGACGGCGCGCTCTGGAGCAGGTAGTGGTACTTGAGCGTCTCGGCAAGGAAGAAGCTCTCCATCTTGTCTTCAATGAACGCGTCCGTGAGGTTGTGCACATTCCGCACGGCGCCATACCCGAACGTGGTCTTGGCGTGCTTTTCAATCGCTTCAAAGATCGTCCACCCCCATTCCCGGTAGATTGGATCGTGTGTGACACGGTACATGTACATGAGACTCTCGATGGTCTCGGGGCGTAGCTTGTAGATGGAGTTTAGCACGTCAAACCCGGGGAAGTGCATCAAATCCGGCGCGAGGCCCGTGGGCTGTCGCGTGTAGTACGACACGCACGTGTGCATGAGTTTCGTCGCCATGTCCAAGTGCACGGCCGCTTTCGTGGCGTTGGTTTCCCCCACCGAGCCCAGCGCCAGCATCCCCGGCACAAAGCAGAGCAGGTGGTCTTGCTGGGGCGTGCCCTACATAGCAGTAACACAAAACTTATGATGTACATGCATATCGTCTCGACGAGCCGGACCTCCATCTGCGGAATGCGCAGTTCCTGCAGGAAGTACGCATCATCTGGGACTGAATGGACATATAAATGCTTTTCCATGCCCGCGACCGCGTCGTCGTATGTTCGTCGAAGGAAGAGGTCGTCCGCTCGTTTGCCACTGTACAGCCACACCTTGAGCAAGTACTCGTAGAACGAATCCCCCAGCGCCCCAATCGTCACAAACGTATCGGATCGGGAAAACGTGCCTGAGTCTGGTTCAAAGTGCACTGGAAACAGTCCCGTGTGCTCGTACGATCCTTCTCGCTGTATCACATCGTAGAATGCGTCGCCCTAATATAAACTATTGATCAGCCCGATCAGATATATATATATATATATTGTCAAGTCGATTCGAAATATTAGAGTGTTTGGGTGCTCAATTGAATGAGCAGACTAACCAAATCGACAGACAATCGATATACGACCAATCAAAACTCAGAACACGAATCAAGTAGCGAATCAAACCCACTCTTCGACGAATTCAACATTGAAATAGTGTGGGACTGAAATTAGTGTGATACGATGATCTTTACATACAAAAGTCCTGACTTTTGTATGTACAGGACAAAGAATCGATCGATAGATTTGGTGAATCAGCACAAAAGTCCAAATTGAGGTATAAGGACAATATATATATATATATACATATATATTTGAACACTATGCACAGAACGATCGAGGGCGAACTAACCTTCTCGGCATACTCCGAGTTGCCCGTGATGTCGCTTAGGTACCGCATCTCCAACTGCAGCGTGCCCACGTCCGCCAAAAACGCCCTAGTAGGTGACAACTACTAGTACATTGTTGGAGGTAGAAGTAGTAGTAGTAGTAGTACTACTACTACTAGGTTACATACCGGTAGTGCGTCCAATGGTTCATGGATTTGCGTTTGGTAAACACGTTCAACTTGGTGTAAAACACCTGGTCTTCATACGCTGGGAGGAGCAAGTCGGCCAGCTCCACGGCCTTGGCCTTGAACAGGTTGTCTTGGGACAGATCGTACGCGCTAAGCAGCCCTCCAAGCTCGCGAATGATCACTTCAAACACGCTGATAGTGTCGCCGTCGCGGCCCAAATGTGAAAACTCCAACTCGTTCGCGACCCAGTCCCGCGCGCGTTGGAACTCGTCCTACATGGTCCTATGTGAGCGCGACATGATGAGACGGATCACTACGAACGTACATGCATGCCCATGATATAAAGCGTGTCCAGCGAGTCCACGAGGGTCACGCCAATGCCGCCCCAGACGTTCTGCCGCCTCTCCCCGGACACGGGTGCCACTTCGTCTGCACCAAACGCTCGTGTCTCGTACCCTGACCAGGCATGCTGCATGGCGCGTCGAATGGCATCCTGTCGGGCAATTTGGGTTTCGTTGACCCCTTCATGCGGTAATGGAATGAACTTTTGTCGCGGTGCAAAGTTGGCGGCGGCACTTTTCTCGGCCACAGCGATCGGCGATGGTGATGGCTTCCATCGTCGTGGCCTGGAGAACGCGTCAAAGGACCGGTCGGCGGTCGGAGATATGTCCAAGCGCGACACGATGTAGATCTGAAGGCCCACGAACAGCGCCACAAGCACCAGCACTAGCGGGATCTTGAGCCGGTTCGGAAACTGCATCGACAGCTCCACAGCGGCGTTTGTGCTTTTGAGTTTACAGCGAGTCTCGCGATTCCGGTTAAAACAACCCAATCAACCGGATAACAACTTGACATTGAAAGTGCACCTTGCCAGAAACGTAGCATGCCACGATGGAAAGAAGCACAACGAAAGGTTATCGATGCGTTAAGCAGGATAACTTAGTAACATGAACATTGCTGTTGGAAGAAACGCAGTGTTTTACGTGATGTTATCCTCCTCGTGCCTTCACGCGAAACGGATGCGCTTCCGTGTTGAACACAAACTTGTCCAACGGCACAAACGACGGCGCGCTCTGGAGCAGGTAGTGGTACTTGAGCGTCTCAGCGAGGAAGAAGCTCTCCATCTTGTCTTCGACGTGGGCGGCCGCGGCACTGTCCACGTTGAGCACGGCACCGTAGCCAAACGAGGTCTTGGCGTGCTTCTCAATCGCTTTAAAGATCTGCCAACCCCAGTCTTGGTACATCGGGTCCTTGGTCACGCGGTACAAATACATGAGGCTCTCCACCGTCTCGGGCCGGAGTCGATAGCGCGAATCGGCCACGGCAAAGCCAGGGAACGTCACGATGTCCGGCGCCAGTCCCGTGGGTTGTCTGCTGTACAAGTTGTAGCACGTCTTCATGAGTTTCTTGGCCATGTCTAGATGCTTGACGACGCGCGCGGGGTCCGTGTCCGTCAACGTACCGAGTGCCAGCATCCCAGGCACAAAGCACAGCAAGTGGTCTTGCTTTGGCTGGCCCTGCGCACTCCATCATCATTAATCAGCCATTGTTCCCATCCACACAAGATATTGGGTAACTAGAACGTACGCTGAAGCCAGGGATGGTCACTTCTTGCAGGTAATATGCATCGTCGGGCTTGGAGTACCGCAGCAGGGAGGTTTCGATGCCTTGCACGGCGTCGTTGTACAGGTCTCTCAGGAACGCGTCCGACTGGCGCTGGCCACTGTACAGCCACACCTTGAGCAAGTACTCGTAGAACGAATCGCCCAACGCGCCAATCGTAATCAGCGAGTTGGACGTCGAAAACGTGCCAGATTCGACTTCGAAATGCACGGGGAAGAGACCAGTGTGTTCGTACGAGCCTTCGCGTTGCACAATGTCGTAAAACGCATCGCCCTACCAACGATGAAGGAATATGACGCCTTGCGATTCTAGTGCACTTGGATGAACCCACCCGTTCGGCGTAGATGGGGTTGCCCGTCACGTCCGACAAGCGCCGGAGCTCCAGCTGTAGTGTGCCCAAGTCCGCCAGCAGCCCCCTATGAACCAACACAAACGCCTCGTTCACACTGTGGACATTGAATTATGTTGCAAAGTGCATTTTTTTTACCTATAGCCGGTCCACCCGTTCATGGCCTTGGTCTGTTTGAACACGTTGAACTGTGTGTAGAAGACGCCGTTGGCAAAGGCTGGAAGTAGCAACTCGCCGAGCTCGACGGCCCTGGCCCTGAATGCGTCGTCCCCCGACAGATCGTACGCACTGAGCAGTCCACCCAGCTCGCGGATCGTGATCTCAAACACGCTGATGTTGTCGCCGTCTTTGCCCAAGTGCGTGAAGTCCAGCTCCGTCGCCACCCAGTCGCGCGCGCGCTGGAATTCATCCTGTCCATCATTAGCTTGTATGGCATTTTCATGTAAATTGGCCTACCGCCATGCCCATGATGTACAACGTGTCCAATGCATCCACGAGCGTCACGCCCAGCCCCCCCCACACGTCTTGCTTGCGGTCGCCGGACACCGGTCCCACTTCGTCCGCACCAAACGCGTGTGTTTCGTAGCCCGACCACGCATGTTGCATGGCGCCACGGATGGCCAGCATGCGACTTCTCTGCACGTCGTCGACACCCACGTCCGGGTGGGGCACGAACGCTCCCACGGCCGCCGTCGGCTTTCTTGATGTAGGTGACGATGTTTGAGAGGAGGATGGTGTCGTTGGAGTTGTCTCGACTTGGTCGTGCTCGTTGAGCAGAGGTGAACTGGTGGCGGCTTGACTGATGGACGGGACACCGACATGCCATGGCCCTTCGCTTGGCCTTGCTGTAGCATCACGTGCTTGGTTTTCGATTGCTTCGTCGTTCAACTCTGATACTGGAGACGTAACAGCGGCCAACCCTCCTCGCAGATGAGGTATGACATCGTCGTACGACGACGACGTGGTGAGAGCTTTGGGTTCGACACTCAATCGCCTGAGAATGTACCCTTGAGCAAGCACAAACAGCACAAGACAACATACGAAGAGTTGGACGCGGACTTTGCTTGGTGGCGCCATGCCATTTCCCAAGAGGCACAAAAATTGTAGTAACGGGTGAAACCCATTATCCGGCGAATCCGCATCCGTTCCGGCCATATACTCTACTACCGGTAGTACAGTACCATATTCAAGGAAGTCTCCTACAGTACCCCGGGAAAATATTCAAGGAGGGAAGTCTCCTACTGTATATTCAAGGAGGGAAGTCTCCTACAGTACCCCGGGAAAATAAGTACAGGACTAACTGTTAACATTTCCCTAAGTATAAAATAAGCGGCCCATAGAAAAAGTATTTCTTCCAGTCGGGCAAATGCACTACAGTAACACTGTAGGCACTCGTGCCAGAAAAGGTTGCGTTGAACACCAAACTATAAGTACATTCGTTCGATTGTGGTATAGTCGGAAATGGCTTTAACCCAAAGCAACGATTCATTGCCTTGAGTTAACTGTAAAGCCCCACTCGGCTATACCTCCAACGAATGGCTCGTAGTAATATAAGGTTTGGTCGATGAGCAAAAGAGATTTGCCAGATTCGATCTCGTGACCTTTCGGACCTTATGCTTTCCCGCGCCCTCAACATTCAACAAAAGGTCGAAAAGCTAAAAAAAGGACGAGTTCGTCAAGAAATTTCCTATATATCCTATATAGGATTCTATATAACCTATACCAGTATAGTTTCCTACATATCCTATATAGGATACTGTATAACCTACTTCGAAGTATATAGTTTCCTATATATCCTATATAGGATACAGTATAACCTATATAACCAGTAGTTTCCTATACAACCTATATAATATCATATACTACATAACCTATATAGCATCGTATACAACCTATATAATATCCTATATAACCTATATAGCATCGTATACAACCTATATAGTATCCAATGTAAGCTATACAGGATACTACTTAGGAGATATAGAGTCCTACTTGGTATATATCATATAGTAGTAGTGTACTTAAGACTTACGGATGGGATGACACATGGATGAAATCGATTATATATTAATTTCATTGTGTGTTACTGTGTTCAAGCTAATAGAATAAATTCGCCAATGCCTATATTTTGGCTTGGATGACTTGGATGACATGGGATGAATCCTGAATACTACTAGTACGTACTACTACTGTACGTAGTACTGTAGTACCAGTAGATGATTAACGCAATCTGTCTTTATATAACACACTTAATATATATAGTTAACAATGTAAATCAACCGCCCATGCGTTGGTTGTAGAAGCAAACGCCTTGGCATACCCAACCCCCTTGAAACTACTACACACAAAGAGTTTTAAAAAACTGCATGTTAATACACAATTTATTATTGGAGTACAAATCTGTCTTAACAAAAAACTCCCTCGACTGATACAGCGGCAACTTCATGGCAACGTTTGTTACCCCTATTCTCAAAGCGTGAATATTAGTGTCCGAGCGACCGCATATAATCTGAACTTACCAATTTCCAGTTGCATTTGATGCCCCCCTTGCAGCGCGTTGTGCTAAACTTGCTCAATGCCATGTTAGCACCCCAACGACGTTCGAACTCTTCAACGCTTTGATCACAATGATCTCGAAGGCATGACAACGCAGGCTTGACAGATTGGCCAAGAAATGCACGAAGCCCATTTGTGTACTCCACGCTTGGTAGTGAAAGGCACCGATCATAGATTACCTGAAATGCAGCCAATTTCTGTGCAGACGTTAACAGTTTTGCCAATGCTTGCCGATCGAGGGTAAGATCAAATAACCCGCCTCGCGCTTGTTTGGTGTTTTGGTTGTGATCGTCAAGTCGTTGTCGCTTCTTGGGTCGAGTTGAAGACTTGTCAACATCTTGTCCATAGGGCGCTGGCTGGATCAATGAGCTTGACGTGGTGTGCAGGTCGTTGGACGTTTGACTCGTTTCTGTCGCGGATAAGTGCATTGAGGGGGGTGGGGGCGGGGGTTCTGTGCAGAGCGATGACGTTAATACGCCAGGGGGTTTTGAGGGGGGTGGGGGCGGGGGTTCTGTGCAGAGATATGACGTTAATACGCCAGAGTGCAGCGATATGGTTGGTGGTGCTGTGTACAGTGATGATGATGGACGGACACTACGTAGTGGTGATGTGATTGAGAAGAGGCAGATGGTATAGCCTGAGGCGACAACACTTGACTCTGTGATGGGGATGTAGATACTGTGTGTAGTGATGAAGACATAAGGACAAACGGCAGTAAGGGGAGTTGAGGGACTGCATGGAGCGACGAAGATGGTGGGACGAAGGCTTTTGGATGGGCTTCGGACGATAACTCGGGTGGGAGGACTGAAGTGATGAGTTCTGTTGCATCGCTGTCGAGGTCGGTTGGGACCAGTGTTGGAGACGTAGGGACCAGTGTTGGAGACGTAGGGACTGCGTAACCCTCGATTACGCAAGGCGTTGCAGGGCCTGTGTGGTACTTCGAAAGGAGTTGCACAAGCCGCCTCACCTCGGTAGCGCAACCACACGCCTTCACTTCAAGCTGTCGTTGGATGTCGTTGATCTCAGACTTCAAATCCCAGCCTTGAACGTTTTTCATGCATGCATTGGCGACATGCATGGGGGACTCGGTGTCGGCCTTGTTCAGTAGTCCGGCATTGATCATGTCTTTGATGAACTTGCACGCAAGCACGGGCATTGGTTCGGTTGAGGAGTCCACATTCACGCCCGCCGCTGCCTGCAGGTTGGATACGAAAACCGCTCGCCATTTTGGGACGTACTGCAAAATGCTCTTGTCGCTAGGGTGATTTGA